CTCCCCTCCCCAGCGGGGACGTACGTGCATGCGGGCCTTGGTGAACAGACGACAACATCAAGAACAAATTTCAGACTTTAGGTTCAATGCTGCATTGTGCAGTCAGAGCTCAGCACGAGGTGGCATGTTAGGAATTCAAAAATAAGTCCTCCCTGACATTAGAAAATTACGAGATATCTTTTGTAGTGTTTGTAGAAGAATATGCAACGAAAATAAGTAGATTGAGATGAAGAAAAGACAATAATAAATCAAACATAAAAAAGCGAAACACAAAAAAACTGTTTTACGCTACCAAGAGCCATAATAAAGCTAGAGGACGAAACTTGAGTCAAGATGAGCACGCATAGGTAGAGCGTGATTAAGGAATAGGTCTATGTGAAAAATTTTGGAAATTTATGTGAGGATGGGAGTACGTGCGGATTCACGGTTTTGTCTGGTCCCTCGCAATCTCAGGTGCTTCAGGTTGTGCGGGAGCAACCTAAAATCGAACTTTTACAGCTCCTCTCGTTCACATGTTTTTTTCATAACTTTTCTTACTTTTCTCTTGATCATAGCCGCGGATACACCCCAAATGTGGTGGCTCATCATTGCTTACTCGTTGTAAACAAACCGACTGTATATAATTTGTGCGTAAAGATAGTATTTTGACACGTTGAAACCTTGCGCATATATCGTCTGCGCCCCAGAGAGGTTCCCATAGGTACCACGTCATCTAGCTGCCTTTCGCACTTTTAAACGTGTTAACCTCGGGCAGTTCCGTTGAAATCTCAGGAGAAACGTGTCAAAAAGAGCGAAAGGCAGCGTTGCACCACGTATAGTAGACGTCATCCGTCTAGTCACCTCGGTGCGGTGTATGTTATTGCACACACATTTGAAATCCCGGATGAGGTGCTGGGGTCCCGCCGTGCCGTAATCGCACCAACTGCATATACGGCTAAATTTTGACGCCATACTGCCTGTTTCTCTTATTTTTATGCTTTTTTTTTGTTTTTAGCTTCACGCACCGACTAACTTTCAATAATTTCTCACCTTTATACGTCGTGCGTGCTATTTCAGATCGAATGGTTCGCAATTTATCACTTTTGCTTACAGGTAAAGGAGGCAGATGCGCAAACTTGCAGGATTTTGGAGAAAGTCTGCCATTTTCGGCGTAGAGTATCTCTTACGCAGTACGAGTTTGAATTTCCTTCTCATTAATATCGAAATTCCTGGTTTTTGCCGAGTTTTCAATGAAAAGCTGTTTTCAAGTCAAACACAGGATTGCACGGGCATTAAAAACCAAAATTCTCGATATCGATGAGAAGGAAATAGAAACTGGTACTGCCCAAGAGATAATCTCCGCTTTCTACGTACGACAATACTGAAAAGGCTATAAAGTAGACATACTTCAAAATCCTGCAAGTTTGCCCATCTACTCCCCTTACCTGGAAGCAAAAGTAATAATTTTCGAACCATTCGATCTGAAACAGCACGCACGACGTATAAAGGTGACAAATCATCGAAAATTAGTCGTTGCGTGAAGCTAAAAACAAAAAAGAAGCATAATAGTAAGAGAAACAGGCAGTTTGGCGTCAAAATTTAGCCGTATGTGCAGTTGGTGCGACTACGGCACGGCGGGACCCCAGCACCTCATCCGGGATTTCAAATGTGTGTGCAATAACACACACCGCACCGAGGTGACTAGACGGATGACGTCTACTATACGCACGCTGGTTCACATGGGAACCTCTCTGGGGTGCAGACGGTAGGTTTATGACCCGTCGTGTTTGTAACATGTTAATCTACCTGTAACTTTTAAATTGTGTTAGATCTTTGAATCAGGGCTTGCTGAGATTAGAGTTGTGCTTCCTAATAAACAGATTTCCGAGTGATACAAGTTCCCCTTTGCTTCCCCCTTGAAAAAATATCTGGCATGTGAAAGCGCCCTCTGATGATCCCCCTATGTAGTCTGTCCTCACCGGAAATTGAGTTGTGCAAAAATGGGAGTTTAAAAATTTCAGTGTCTTAGTTGCGACCATCTATTTCGGAAAGTGGAAGAACATATGAAGAGTAAAACCATATTTTCACCGTTTAGCGGCTTTAGGCATGCATAACAATGGATAGCATAGTGGAGCTTATATTTGGGTAAATTCGAAATTTTTCATCGAATGAATATCGAGTAAATTCGAAAATAGAAATTTTCAAATAAACGAATATCGAAATTCGAAAATAAAAAGTCTCGAATAGAAGAATATCGAAAATAAAAAGTCTCCAGTAGACGAATATCGAATAAATTCGAGATTTGAAAGTCTTCGAATGAATGAATCCTGAATAAAATCGGAAAATCAAAAATATCGAATGAATGGATATCGATTATATATTCGAACATTGGGTGTCGAATTTCCAATAAATATTCGAATGATTTAATGAGTAAAAGAGCAACCAGATCTAAAACTTGCTGACCTATTCGGCTAAAGCCGATCTATTCATAATCAGCACCCTCATATCCCCTATACCAACTCCTAGCTAAAGATTTTCCAAAAATCGGTGAAATCGAAGAATTATTTTTAATCAGCAATCTCATTTATTCCCTGTACCAACTCCCAGCCTCGTGGCAAGATTTGCCAAATATCGACAAAATCGACAGAATAAAATTTCATTATAATCGGCACTCTCCCTTACCCCATGTACCGACTCCCACCCCCGTAGCTAGCATTTTGTGACGGGCAAATCGCATACGACTGTCGTGTGAAGTGTGTGCGGGGCCTGACATAATCAAAGCTTGCATTTCTCAATGTGGACTTCTTCGTCCGGCTTTGGCCTACCATAGTTGAAAGGCAGATAGCTCTCGGTCTCAAAGTGCCTGCAACCTCCGTGAAAATTTTGGATGCACTGTGATAACAAAACTATAATGTACTATCTACTGAACACAAATTTATTGCAAGGTGTTGTGACTACAAAATCCAACAACCGTCTAATCCTCCACTACAGCTGCAATGTCCTTTGCTCAGAATACACCAATTCGCAAGAAAAAAACTCTAAGGTAAAGAAGAGAGGCAGTTGTGCAGCATGAGTTTTACAAGCGAGAGTGCTCACTAATGTGGATTTTTGCTTATTAAAAGCATGAGCAATACAAAGAAAGAGAAACAGGCATGTTAACATACTTCCAGTATATGAACTCGGAACACGAGCTTGAATTTGATAGCTGTTTTTTTTTGCTGGTTTGGTGCCAACAGCAGTGCGAACTATCTCAGTGATCGAAAAAGCATAATCGAAATCCCCACCTATTTTTTTACCGTCGCAAGCAGTCGGAGGACTTCCCATACAGTTCAAAGCTCATCACGACTGCAAAAAGATTCACTACCGAGTTTTGCGGTAAAAAAAACGCAGACGAAGCGAGTGATACTCAGCAGACGGCTCGCAACAAACTCGAACAATCTGGGTACGGAGTTCATTCGAATACGAATTCGAATAAACATTCGAATAAAACATCCATGAAATCTATTCGAAACCTCGTTTTCTGATTATTCGAGTTTTCCAATTTCATTCAAATCTCGTTTTTTTTTATTATTCGAGTTTTCGAATTCTATTCGAATCCTCGTCTTTTAATTATTGATTTCGATTTTCATTCGAAACTCCGTTTTCTCAATTATTCGAGTTTCGAATATTATTCGAAAATGGACATACTCCGAATATCGAATTTCGAATGCCAATATATTCGAATGTTTTAAACGAATGATCGAATTTCTATTCGATTCGGACCCAAGTAGGGCTGATCTCGATATATGCGGAACCTTTGCACATGAAGGAAACAACAGCCACAAAGGCACTGGACGAGTACTGGATCTCTGCAAAGAACCCAGCAATGAACAGGAATGAGTGCGGAGTCCTACATAGCGGTGTTCACAACGCTACTTCATTTCTTGTCATGGAAATGCTTGATGATTCGTTTTCCGGACAACACTTGAAACCATTTTAAGCCTCGCAAAAAGCGTCCAAACGTTAAAGGCAGTGTCCAGACAAATCTAAGCACATGAGTTTTTCGCATGGAAACGGGGGGGGGGGCTAACTGAGGCACTGCCCAAGCGGCAGCGCATGCAGTGCTCTATTGGCTGAGATATTCCCCTGGAAACTGGACCCCACGATCATATTCGCATGGATTCATGGCAGTTTCGCGCCAGAAACCACGCTTTGCGCCATGAATCCATACGAAATACGATCGCGGGGTCCAGTTTCGAAGGGAATATCTCAGCCGTTAGAGTACTACCTGAGCTGCCGGTTGGGCAGTGGCTTAGTTAATGCCCAAAAATTACTATCCATGTGGCATCCCCATGTGTTTCCTTTAACGGCTGAGAAATCCGTCCCGAAACCCTTCCGCATGCGCCGTGACCGTAACCCAAAATGTTCGCTCACATTTGACACTACGTTTGTGCTGGGACCAATCCTCCTAAATCACTCGCGTTTTACGATCACGGCGCAGCCGCGGAGGGTTTGGAGACGGATTTCTCATCCGTGAATGAATCATATGCGCTGGATTTGCTTGGACACCTTTAAGGCCCGTATGCACTAACATTTTTGCGGCGAGGGGAGCGGCGTCCCCCGTTATGAAGGGACCGCGTGCGGACGCCGCTGCGGCTTTTTCATCATTGGGGACGCCGCTCCCCTCGCCTCAGGGATGTTAGTGCATGCGGCCCTAAGCCTAAGCTAGAAATAAAGAAAACTGCTTGGCACCTAAGCATCTCAAGAATATGTGCTATGCTCAAGATTGAAGAATGTAGCAATAATCTCTAACATTTTTCTCCCACTCTAGTGAACATCGCGCAGATGCCTCGAAAGATGGACATTCTCATATTTTTTACGCAAGTTTAAAGCTAAAACGATGCTTCTTCAATTGAAACACTTCTGAATAGTTTGCATAGCTTCTGAAAGTTTCAAATGTAAAATGTAAACATCCCCTACAAGATGAAAATATTTGAAAACAAGAGTAGTAAGCAGATATTTTGCTTAAAAATGCACACGATAAGAAATATCGCCGAATTTGTGAAGAACATATGCATTGATACTAGAAATTTGAGCAAAACATACATGCTATACGTCGATTTGATAGGCAAACATAAGAAGTAGACATCTAAAATGGAGTCAGAAGAAATAGAAAGCAATGGTCGAGACTAGAGCATGTCTTTAGCTATAAAATGGAGTGAAAACCAAATTTTTTTGGTGAACTTCCAAACTCTCGCTGTAAGCGAATGGTAGTCAAACTGTGAACGTTTGCAAGTTATGCATAGGCTGCCGAGATAATACTATCAAGAACGTGGTTCACCATCGGTCGCGAGAAATTCAACTTCATCGGGACGACCGGATTGCTCTGAGACGTCGTCGTCTTCGGAAGATTCACCATCACTGGAGATGCAATAAATCAAAACATAAAATGGAGACCAAAAATTCAAAACCGACCTGACTTGAGAGGAAGATGCTGCTGGAAGAGATGAGGCAACAACCGAAGCTTCAGCCGAGTTCTCGCCTTCAGTCTGATCGACCACAGCTGCTGCAACGATCTCTGATTCCGACTGTAGACGTCGTGAAGCTACAAGAAGGGCATCCTGAAAGATAAGAAGAAATGGACAAAAGAACGAAGAAGACATCAATGGCAGCCACCAACTTGTTTAATTTGTTCGACAGTCTCGGAATTCCTTTTTGACAAATCATCACCTTCGCCAGTCGGCATGTTAGGAATGTCAAGCTGTGCTAATGTTCGTCGTAACGAAGCGTCTGGAATGTTTTGATTGAGATTTCGCTTTCAAGAGACGCAAGTGATTGAGATAGCAAGACTCGAACTAACATAATCTATGACTATCTGCTTATTCCAACACCTTCAATGCAACTGGGAAAAACTACACTCTACTATCTGCTAAAAACTGCAGCATACACATCAATTTGTACATAAACGCATCAGTTAAGTCAACTAACGACAAAGACAGTTTCAAATCTGTGGGGAAAGACGAACCTGGACTTGAAAATTCTCGTCCTCTTGCGGGTACGAGGCCGATGTCACGGACGAGAGCCAGCGCTATATCAGCCTTGTTCAGTTGTGTTTCAGTATTACTAGCCATGCTCATTTCACGCTGCATTTTTCTGCAATATAGATTTAACAGCTGAGTATCAGCTCCAGACCCACTATATACGACCTATACACCTAATCAAACTCAAAAAGTTGTTTGAAGAAAAGGCAAAATAAAGTGAATCAAAAACACCGAAAAACATGCAAGTCTACGTAGCAACGCGATATAGCTGTCCCTGTAACAACTATAGAAAGTATCAGAAACCTTTGCCTGAGAAAACGCTTGTCGTTCCAGTAGCTACCCATGGAAAACGATGAAAGTGGTGGTACGTCGAACATCACGCTCAACCAGCTCTGAGATTCTTGTCCTTCCTCCACTTTAACCCGTTCTCGTTCCCGTCCTGTCATTCCTGCTGCGGGAGCATCCTCGTTTTCATCTAAGTCTCTGCTTGGTTCCCGTCGCAAAACGTTGTTGAAAGTTTCCATTTCTTCAGCTGTTAATGACGAGCGAAGAGCTAAAACGTCAACATCATGATGGGAACCATAACTAATGATCTGAATAACCAAATGACCTCGCCATATATCTCTTTTTGATAAAGGACGATCAAAAGGTGCCGAATTTTTCTCCGAGCGCAAGTGCGGGTTGCTTGGTTCAGCATGTCCTGCTTCCGACGTGGTCTGCAAATTTTGTGTTACACTCGATATAATTCAGATGTTAATGGTGGAGGCTACCCAGATCACAGCAAAAGTTACATTTCAAAGGAAAATCTTATTGTGATAATAGGCTTATTAGAGTCTACCTGAAGAAAATCGGGACTATTTTATATTTCTACATCTAACGTAAGGCTCAGCACTCGTGATAATATTGTCAGTAATGGTACAGCAAAACCACCACTCAATGGACGCTAATCTACTCTACAAGAAACTTCTATTCGGCCAAACCATGAGCACGCGATCAATAATAATGACAAGGAAGTCATATCATGAGTTATGAGCTTCCTTATAAAACCACAAAACATCACCTCGCTGTCATCAAAAGCAGATGGAGAGAATTCAAACTCGCTATCTGAATCGCCACGTGCTGATGTCGTGCTTCCGTCCATAGCGCTGCCCTTGGTGCCATTCGCAATTCCGGTATGGCTGTTGCTAGACCTACAACAAGCACAGTAGAACCCTGAATTTCGAACATAATTTCCACGAATACGACTACAAACCAACATTATTAATTATACCATATACAGATGGTCAGAAGTGTAGAATTACATTAACCGTCAAAAAACTTGGGAAAAAAAGTAAATGACCTATGATTCTCATCATCCTCATGAGCCACATCTCCTTCCTCCGCAAACGCTCCAGCATCACTAGAATCATCCTCAGTAAGTTCTTCGAAAGGCTCTAGCTCATCAGGAGATCCAGTCTGAAAAGGAAAAACTGTTTTGCACGCTGTTTGAAGAAGTAGAAAATGTTCGATACCTGAGAATCTGAAGGAGGATAGATAGGAACAACTCGCAATGGTCGAACAATCTGCGGCGCAGGCTGAAACTTTCATTTTTAGCAAGAACATATGCAATCAAAAGTCATGAATCTTACAGTTGCCACCGAAGTTTGTCTGACAGAACTAGAGCTTCTTGGCTGTGCATATTCGCTATTCCTCGTCACAACATTGCGCAGGGAGTTGAGAGCAGGCAGCAAGTTTGCTCCATTCCCAACAGGCTGTAATATTCGTGATCACCTTAATCATATCAAATTGGATTTACCATTTCAATAATAACTTACCTGAAACAACTGATTACTAATACGCTGCATTTCAGCAGCGATAGGCATATGAGGCAATGTAGGGATGTGTCTGGTGAGATTTACCATTCTGAACATTTCGTCCACATCAGCAATATCGGCGCTCCACGGTGGTAAACCAATCGTGCCAGCTCCTCCCGCTGCTATACCGACCGCCGGAGCAGCTGCGTTCCCACCTCCCACTAAAACTGATACAGACCTAATTTGAAGCCCCGAAAACAGATGGTCTCCAAACTTACAATTTGCACCAACTCCAGCTGGTTGTCGAGCAGTCCTTCGCGCCAGCATTGGACGTCGCGCGTTCGTCCGTGTAGGCTCAGCACGATACGTTGCAGCTTCGAGATTACTAAAAACGTGGAATTTTTTCAGCGACTTGATCCTCAATCTGAATTGGAATCGTTTACAAAACTTCATCAGCTACACTAATAAAATAAACAACATCAATATGTTTTCACTGATCATATCGTTCAGCGAATCCGGGAATCCGATAACCGCCAGATCGTATAATCCCCTGGCGAAAACTAGAAACGTTCTCTCGCTATACCTATTTGACTAGATCCTATTTATGACTTTGACGATGTGGCTTAACGAGTTATGTCGTGACACCACCGGAGTTGATGTGTTTTGCCATTTGACTGGCCGGTCCGGTAATATTGGTATTGCAATGCGCCAGCTATCAATGTAGTTCTCTCAGAGCTGGAGAACATGGACGCATATCAAAGGAACCGTCCACCCTATGTTAAAAGTCTTTAGCATTTGGGCAGCATATGAGGGTAGGACCCCTATCAGGCGAATGCCCAAGTCGCGGCGCAAAATACTCCGGAAGCGAGAAAATCGCTCCGGAATAACGAATATGCACGAGGGCCCCCAGACGGCACCGCCCTCCCCATCCAGCCGCCCATCCTTGCGCACCCATCCAATCACCGTTCCGGCCGGCCTATGGGTTCTCCGAAACGAAACGGGGATTGTCGGAGTTTTCGCGGATCCTCGACTTCACATTCGGAATCGTAGACATGAGAAGGCCTTGAAACGACAAAAACATGGAAGTTGAGAATCTGGGTGGACGGTGCCTTCATGGAAGACGGCCGCTTCGCATGACACTAACTAACAGCCACCCTGCGTAAATAAAGGCAGCGTTCAGGCAAATGTGGTCGCGTGGGAAGTAATTCTTGGGGGCCTAACAAAGGTCATGCCCATAGCGCAAACGAATCACTCATGGCTGAGATATTCTCCTCCAAACTGCACCCTAGCATCGCAGTAAAGGACGACTTGCATCATGCTTTCATGGTTTTGCCCGGAAACCACGCGCGACTATGGATATATGAAACCATGCGAGCATGATGCAAATCGTGTCAAAGGCATTGTATCAACTAATTTGAGTCTCGGGATTTTGCGCGAAAAACACTCCCCGACCTTGTATAGCACTACAAGAGCTCAAATCGCTTGAGAATCCGGCATTCCCCGTTTTCCAAAACCCGTGTAGAAGCACGCAAACGAGCTGTCCTGTTCTCCTTAGCTTTGGCAGCCAGATTGACAAGTCAAGGAGGATGACGTCGCCTACATAAACGTGTTGAGAGGCGATGGGGAAACAGAAACGTCGTCTAGCGCGCGCCGAAACGCTCCACGAGCCACTTCGAAACCAAATTTTTTCGACATAAAAGAGACGTTGTCGTATGGGACTCGGGCATGGCATAATAAGGGGGTCCCTGAAGAAACTCGTAAAAAACCGCCATACCAGAGATCTGGTGAGACACTGCCTTTAATATGATACTGGAGTTTGTTTGGAGATGTAAATCTCAGCCGCGAGAGCACAACATGAGCTGCCGCATGGTTAGTGTCTTGGTTAGGACCCCAAAATTAATTTCCAAGTGATATACTCAACCTTTAACAGTGAGTCGTAGTGCATGAAACCTATACACCCCCTTCCCTCTTGGCTTCAAATCCGCCACAATCGCCGATAGGCTCCGCTCCCGTACAACTAGCACATGGTAGTACGTAGATGCGCGTGTTCTTGCAGATCCGCGCGATCTCTTTGGAATCAGAGGCGCATGAAGGCGCATGAAGGCGCACAAAGGCGCACGGAGGCGCGTGTGAATGTGTGTGTGTCGAGAGAAACGAGACGAGACGCGCCCTCGTGCGCCTTCATGCGCCTTTGGCGCCTTTGTGCGCGATCCCTTTCGGCGACCCAACGTCCCCTACCTCCAGCATGCGTCGAACCGACTGGTCCTGCATGGAGATGCCTGATAGGCATTCGGTCGTGCGCAGTATAACGCCAGCCTTCGCGTCATATACTAGTGAAGTAACTTGGTACAGTCTTTTTCAACCCGAGTAGGCGAACATTCCAGGTGGAGCAGCGTGCCCGCACTGCCACTAACTCGGCTATATAGATTAGAATGAAGAGACGCAGACTGAAAACGGCGCAAATTGTTGCAAAGCAAACTCCCGCCGGTCCAATCTCCACCTAAACTGGATTGAAACTTACTATAACTGAGGGAAGTGCGTATCTATTGTCTGCCCACGGTTGCTACCCCTGCTTTGCGTTTTTTTCCTGCATGATATATTGCTAACATGTTCGCCATATGAAACAACATGGCAACGATGTGTTGGCTGTCAACCTTTAAGTCAACATGTTGCCAGCGAGTTAGCCCTGAACCTCAACAAAAATCGGCAATGCCTCATTTATAACTGAAGAAGAACGTCATTTCTTTCCTATAAGGATTTGGAGCGTTACAAACGTTTGTCAACGCGGACAAACTTGTATCTTCACTGCGCCGGTGGAGTTGTATGAAGGAGATAGTTCTCTAGAGAGAGCCTGCGGCAACTTGCGACGGTGCGGTGCGAACTCTGCTACGCGTCAAGACATGCCGCATGCAACAGTGCGTCCTCGGCATGCTAACCGATACTGGTTGATACAGTCTATCAACAATATTTCCAAATCGCTCGTCATGCGTGATTAGAGGAGGTAGAGGGCCATTTGTCGCCAAAGGGTCCTCAAAATGCGCACCTCTCATACATGCAAGAGATGCGTAACTGTCGCAGATGTCCGCAGGACCCCCCCCCCCTTTACGGCTACACATAGTACACTACCAACGAAGGACCTTTGATCGTTGAACACATCATCGTTGTTGGGACAGATTGGGTAAGACGAAATAAGGGCGGAAAGACCCAAGCATGCTCTACCTTCAAACATCTATCCTTCAGCATGATGAAGGGTGTTTGTTGACAGAGGTACAGCCTGTCCCACTCCAATTCAGGCCAAAATCGGCATGGCGGGAGTACGCGTCGCAAGGGTTCTGCGTCACGTCAGGTCGCCCTTTTTGTCTGCTCTCTCTTCATTCTCTTCGCGCTCTTGGACGACGCGCACATGCACCGCAGCTCCTAGCGCTGCGAGCGCACAATCTGACGCCTATGGTTCGGCCTGATCCCAGTCGAGACAGGCTGTATCTTATTTTGACTGATTCTTCTGCGTTAACTATATGATGTAACTCAAACACTTCTCTATAGAGTTCAGGTGGTTCCTAAAGCATGACGGCATGGCATGCAGCCTTACACAACCGAGTATTCTCTTATTCATGTGCGCGGTGTAACCGCCGGTCCCATACAGATTCAAGCACACTGTAACGTAAGGAAGATAAGCAGAGGCTTTGATAGCAAATTCGTTTTCACAATTTTGCTTGCTGCTTTCTCGTTCTGCGGGACTGCAACTACAACTTGCTCTCTCTTTAGCACTGTGCAGTTCAACGAACTGTGCCCTTATACCGGATTATGTGCGGCAGTCTTGCTTGCTCCTCCCAAATTTTGAAGTTGGTGCAATTACACAAGATCTGAGAGTTGTTACCTGGGGACCGTCCGACTGAAGACGACGCTATATGAGATCACCATACTTGACAAATAAAAAGTATCTTTTGGTTGTCTTTTAGGGGACGTCAAATCTGGGCTTGGGATTGAACATGGAAACTGATTTTGGAGACCTAGCTACAACAATGCCCAAACAGCAATGCTGATGGTGCACTCACGACTGAAATTCGTCCCCAAACTCGACTCCACTATCGTTGACGGACGACTTGCATGGAATCGCATGCTGCCTGGGGATCCACCGTTACATGAACGGTCCCAGTGCAAAGCCAAACCGATGCTGGTCCGCTGAATATAACTCAGCCGCGACTGCACGATCTGTGCTGCCACTTGGGCAGCGTCTTGATCAAGCTCTCAAAATCAGTTTTTGAGATCCCCATGTGTCCAGATATGCTGGACACTGCCTTTATCAATGTGAGCATGAATTATTGACGAACTAATTTATCGAAACTGTAACTCAAAGGAACTTACGCATGGAATGCTGTCCAGTGTGTCTTCAAATTATCAATTTCTCTGTTGGCATCAAACTCTGGGCAAGCAATACACATAGGGCAGATCTATGAAGTCACAATATTGACTGCCAAAGATAGATGGCAAAGATGCCGAAGAAAAGAATAATCAATTACATATGCAGAAATGATGGACTGACCACATTAACGCGGGGCACTGGTGGTTCCGAGTGCACACTTAAGATATGACTTGCAAAACTGCGAAGACTGAAGCCATTAAGTCCGCAGTAGGGACAAGTAAAAGATGCTATTCGACATGCGTCATAGTTTTTCGAACTGTCACCCTCGTAAACAGCATCTGAATAGATATAAATTAACCAAAATTTTAAAAGATTACGAAAAGTCTTGAAAATCTGAAATTACCAAAGTCCCGCTGAGTCATGATCATTTGCACGGGGTGATCCTCGTTGTGAGACAATGTCGTATCCGTACCTTCCGGTCGAAACCGATTACTAAGGTAACAGGATTGACATAAATCGAAGTCATAGCATCGAAGACATTTATATCTGTTGCCAGAGAAGTTACCACTCAGACATCCATCACATGAAACACCTATAAATAAGCGCCATTGCATAAAAAATTGTATAATCCAGAACTCCCAAATTAGAAAAAAATCACCAAAATAATGCACATAATTCATAGTTATCTATGTTCAACCTAAGCAATTGTGAAAAATAAACAGACCTTCGTGATATGATGGCGGAAGCGCCATTGTCAGAACAGCTTGTTCCAACTAGCGTCAAAGCTAGTCGAGTATTTTCTGAATGAAAATCAATTTATTGCAAAAAGTGCGGAAAAAATGGAGGATGGTGACTACATTTCGCCAGAGTTTCAATCGTATTCTCTTCATAACATTTTACGGGTACAAATAATCTTGTTCCAATATCTGCTTTAGAAAGGATACCGACTGCGATGATGAGTTGCCCAAGTCTTTAAAGCAAGTTTAGGCGTCTTTCAGAAAGCAACAACAAGGAGAAAAATTATTTGGAATACTTCAAGTGCCTATGCTCAATCTCAGAGATCTGGCGCACAGGCATTGCGGTATAGGTAGCGGGGCGGCTGCGTAGCAGTTCAGCATAGTGGGCAAATCACGTCAATCGCAAGGCAGCAATGCTAATTGAACGTTATTTCTTATTTTTTTCTGCAGCTTGATTTTGGGAAAGGATGAAACAGATCAAATCACTATTATCGCAAATTCTGTGGCAGTTTCATTGATAAAATGAACTTGGTTCTGGTTCATAGTATCAGATCTTCCGACTAATTCAAAGCAGAGTTCACGCTTCATACAGGGACATTTTCAGTGTTTTTTTTTTTGACGGAGTCACAAGTCTCGGGAAGTTAAGTCTCGGTGCATGATAAATTCTGTCAATCGCTTGTGTTCTCTACGAATATCGCTACCTCGGATGGAATTTATGGATAAACAACAAATGAAAAAGCAATGCAAAACTTCATTATGACAAAAAAGGGCAACAATGAAAATGATTACAATTTCACAACTAGACGTAAAGTACCAGATCTTGCTATGTTTACTTGAATTCTACATGTGGGGTATTTGTATCTTGCAGGAAAAGGAAGAACTTGCAACTACGAGAAGGAGTATCCAAGCAGTTGCTGCTTCAGATTTGGTAGTTGAGAAACGTCAGTCTGGCTGCGGCGCGAAGTTCGGCTGCAGAGCGCGGCGGTGCGGGCACATTCAGACAACTCCCAAATCTCCCTTTGTTTATTCCCATTACTATTCCATTGTTGTTCATCAAATAAGAAGATGGGAAACCATGTGTGAAACTAGAACAACCAGGTGCAAATCTTTGCTAACGCACCTCTCTTCTGAAGTCTCCTCCTTCTTCATGGACGCCGTCAGGTTTTCGCTTACCGTTCTTTAAAACGAGTGTGAAACAAACACTCAAGGATGTACAGCAAATAGCGTATTCAAAATAAACACGACCATACTCGACCTGGGCCAAAAAGACATGCGCCAACCTCAAACTTGGGTAGTTGAACTTACTAAATCTCGGAAGAGGCAACACTGACGTAAACAAATACATAGTAGGAAAGCTGATATAAAAAGTTCCGGCAAAATTATCTCGTAGGATTCAGATCAGATGAAAAACAGTTCAATATGAGTATGGCTAACACTATGCGAGAAACGATGGCATACCGATGTTATAGCTGGAAGGCCTTTCGTGTGAGAAATCAGCTTGATTTACATTGTTATTTCGTTTATGAGTAGTGGGATATGGGATAATGTCTGCTCATCGTGTACAGTCAATGTCAACCATATGCTCCCTTTTCCGTGCAACTACGCATCCGCAGCGCTGGGCATTGCGCAGCGTTCCCCGATCGATGCGACTACTTCGAACGCTTGAACGGTGCGCCCGCGTGAGAAGGGAGCACATCATTGACAAGGACTGTAGCCAAATAAGCCGAGGTGCCAAGCTCGGATCTTGCGGAATTGAATTTTTTGCAGAAAGTCACTTCAAGGGCTTTAGATTTTTTGTTCGAAAAGGCATTTTATTACAAACTCAAAATCGTCATACGTATTTTTGCAATCATTTAGGTTACTTTTAAACCAATCTTTTATGTCCAAAGAGCAAAAATGCATTAATGCTTGAACCAAAGCAAATATCATAAGTAGCCAAAGTATCTATGCTTTAATGACCCCAACGAATATATCAGACCGTAACATAAATTTTTTACAGAAAAAAACTTGGAGGGAAAAACTTTCATATCTTTTCCAAAAAAATTTTTCTCCTCTAACAAAATGGAGGGTTGTAGCTTTGCTATACATCTCACACATAAAAAATCCAATTTTTGTATCTTATATATTTTTTGTAAATTATTTTTGGCAGATTTCTAACTTGCGTTATTGAAAACCCTAGATCTTCAAAGTACCTTCATATTGGAAATGATTTCCCTAGAAATCCAGAAAAAATCTGAGAACAAAAATATGAATGAGAGAGTTTCTAGAGGAAAAAGAAGGAGGTCCAAGTGCTGTCACAAAATTGCACTTATATTTTCACTACAATCCAAAGGGTGTATCCCATTACTTGTGAGTGTCAATTACGCGGACGCCGCGCGCGACAGGCTTGCAAGAATGAAAGAGATAGTAAATGAAAACATGACAGTTTCTACGTATTTGGTCACAAAACGTACTTTTTGCTCACTATAACGACGTGACCTCTGAACATTTCCTTGGGGACAATTTCATTTACCTCTAAAAAACTGTTTAGCAAAGTCTAGTATTTGGCACATATGAGTATGATTAAAAAAGGACCATTTATTGGCATCAATTCACTTTTACAGATTTGGATTGGGGAGGCGCCCATTACTAGTGGGTGTCAATTAGAAATTGAATAATGAGGCGAGAGGCAGCAGGGCCAGGGAAAATAGACATTTTCCCTGGCCCTGCTGCCTCTCGCCCGGGTTACTGTAACGCCGCGTCGCGGCAACGCCGCGTCGCGCATAGAAATTGAATAATGAGGCGAGAGGCAGCAGGGCCAGGGAAAATAGACATTTTCCCTGGCCCTGCTGCCTCTCGCCCGGGTTACTGTAACGCCGCGTCGCGGCAATTTCTAATTGACACCCACTAGTAATGGGCGCCTCCCCAATCCAAATCTGTAAAAGTGAAATGATGCCAATAAATGGTCCTTTTTTAATGCTCATATGTGCCAAATACTAGACTTTGCTAAACAGTTTTTTAGAGGTAAATGAAATTGTCACAAAACTTGTGTTACGAACCAATACTTGAACCACTCTTCATAACATCATTTCGAGGCAATTAATTCGCAGTGTCTGGAAAATGTACGGTTGCCAAATTCTTGATCACAATCCAATCGAGGTACTTTTTTGGAGTGTATAAAGTGCCGCAGTAATTACTTGCCGTATTCGCCGAATCCGATCGAAGGCCGTACTTATATGAACTGGCCCAGTACTAGACTAACACATTAGTGAACAACAAATGGCGTCAGTCTACAGTCAATAGGTCTATTCCGTCAACGTTTACTGCACCAACCTCTATCGAACTGATCTAGAATGATTTTATGTGGTTGGCACGAGTTCTTTCGCACCATCTTCAAAAATTTATAGCTTGGTTTTTCCCTTGCTTGCTTTTATTTTTTTTTTGAAAGTATGAATCAAGCTCTTCACAAAATTATCTTACTATTAGCGGTTTTCTATTGAGCATACATCGCATAGAAAGAAGAAGTAGAAAAAAATTACTCAAACTAAAAAATTTTCTATGTTTAGTCGTAAAAAATCTAAGCTTGCAGTAAAAATCGGAGCAATCGATGTTATACATAGCTTCTGCTACGTGCTCCTTGGCGGGAAAATTTTGTCCTAATCGAAAGTCTCACTGAAAATATGATTTTCGAGCGAACAGTGCAAAATAGCAAATTTAATTTAGGCGGTTTTTTTTTCGAAAATCATAAGTTTTCTCAGAGATGCTTATTCAGCACAAACGTCGCTTAATCAAAAAAACTCCATTTATAGCTTTAGAAGTGATATCCTCATACGAGGTGTAATTATAGACAAAAAATGCATAGCGGAAACCAAATTTTCACATGATATAAGGTTGGCACGAAAGTTCTGTCTCATCCATTTCAAGGATTCATAACCTCTCGTTTTTGACGTATTTGCTCGCTTTTTATTAAAAATAAAAGCGAGCAAATACGTCAAAAACGAGAGGTTATGAATCCTTGAAATGGATGAGACAGAACTTTCGTGCCAACCTTATATCATGTGAAAATTTGGTTTCCGCTATGCATTTTTTGTTATAATTACACCTCGTATGAGGATATCACTTCTAAAGCTATAAATGGAGTTTTTTTGATGGGCTGTCGGTTATATTTTTAGACTAGACCAGTCATTTTCGTTTACTTCTGGTCTTTGAGATTTTATTGCACGACGGCTAGCGAGCTCAGTTACCCTAGTAGTTAATGGTGGAATAGTCAAAGATAGTTTTTTCATGGAGAAACGATGAAGAGAGCTGACTAAATTTATTAAATCAAAGGATTGAATTAAATGCAAAGAAATCTTTGTCGACAGTTGCACGTACATCGACTTTTGATCAGATTAGTACTGACATATGTACTACTTCCTCTTCTTATCCTACTTATTTTATCAGTCATAGTCGATAGAATACCAATTCAACAAGATTCTTTTCTTTTCTCCTTTGAAGTCAAACTTGCACACTTCGTCTTTCCTAGTCTTTCATTTGCGGTTCAATTTTTGCAGCTCTTTTACTCTGTTCCAACTCACTTCCGTTTCGTGAGTTTTGGGATCACTTGCACCTATGTGTATTTAATGGAGCTATTGAAAATGCACAATATTTGGTATTTATTGTTTATGGAGCAGATGTGCAAGTACCCATATTCGGAAATAGATGGCCTAACTGTACATCCAGGCAAAATTGTGATCATCGTCATTTGAGGGCTGCCGGAAAAATCCTCTCATCCTTGTGAGGAGAGGATTCTTCCGGCAGAGAGGAGAGTGAGAAAGCATTACATGGGTTTTTTCTAGATATGAATTCAAAAGTCATACGACTATATAGGAGCTTTTCGAATTCCCAAACATTAAATTTTTCCATGGGAAGGTGCGCACAGCCACATCTTGCAGACACAACTTTTAAAATTGTGTTTTTAAAATTGTAGTCATTTTCAAACGAACAAGTCACGCAAGAAATACCTCCTTAGGGCCGGGCATACTTCACGCGATCTGGCAACTCGCCAGAAGTCTTCAGATCCAACACTACCAAACTGCACATGCATAATGTGTATAACTTACGTGGATTGATAGAATGCCCTATCTTCTGTACATTTGAAATATGCTTACAGTGAGTTATGGACAGTTGGAATAATGCCAAATCGTGTCGCGACTGAAATCGCGTGAAGTATGCCCGTCCCTTTACGCATTTCCGAAATGCATTCTTTAATTACACTGTACTTCACATCATCACCATGAGAGTGAACCGCTTTTTTTTTTTCAAATCTTCGAGTGCTTTATTGAAATGATCTGCTCAAACATGATTTTTTTCCAAAAAAATCGAGATGCTTCGAAACGCAACTTGGCCTTTAGCTTGTGATCTTATCAGTGAGAGGCGAAAGAAGAAGAAGTCCTAAGCATCGATGGGGTAGGCTCAAAAAATTCAATCTCTTAAGGAATCTGGAGCCATTGGTGATATGAGTGTCGAGATGTTTTTTTCAGCAAGAAAAGGTTTACTTCTTGAACATCTTTGAAAGAATATATGATTTTTGAGATTAATACAAATTTGTACATGTTTGTTTGAGTAGCAGGTTTTTTTGCTAGTGACTTCAGTTAACAAATTTTGTGTAAAACTCGTGTAAATTGGGAAGGATGAACCGTAAAACTTATACGACTAGCGCTCGATTTTATTGCCATGTTCTTTTGATGACGATAAAGAAGGTTGGATAGCCTCGTCCTATCTCGTGTTTCACCGTTCTCATCCTTAGCACTAGCCCGTATCGAAAAAATTAAAGCGCATAGCCACGACTTCCTTTTTTTCAAGGGGATTAGATTTCTTTTCTTTTTTTTTTTTCATTTTCCGCAGCCTATTCAGCCGTTGAGCATTAAGCGAACAGATGGTTTTGCGTGGAAAACCTTGCTGCAGCGATATCCGTCTCAAACACATTGCATTCATGTTCATTAATGTTTTGATAGATTTTGCGTTTGATAGACTTCCTCTGCGGTGCCGGTAACATTTGTACGTGAAAAAATGGCAATAGAGCGCACAGTTCTGATGCTGCGCGTTATCTCAAGTGATGTCGAAGGCAAGAACATCACACTAGCCGTCAAATCCATCGAGCATATGGATCAAATCCATCGGTACTATGGTGTCCATCTGGCAATAAAAATTGCGCCTCTTGACATACACCCCGAACTAACTTGGTTGGACGCAACGGCGATCAGTCTTTGCGTGTTATGAATCGCGTATAGATGTCATCGTTAGCACGTCCCACTTGTTCAATCGATATGTATCCAATGTGTATCGCCCAAAACTGGCCATCGCTAGGCAGTATTCGCGATCGCTAATCGCTACTACCGGCGATCGCCAGCCGCTAATGTTGGCGACCGTGTCTTCCATAAGTATCGATCGCTGACAAGTTACCACATGTGCAATCGAAACGTATCCAACGTGGAGTCGCCAACACTGGCCACTGGGGGTCACCAATATCGGTGAGAAAGATCAAAAGTTCAATATTTGATACATTTTGATCGAAGTGGTGCCATACAGCCTTTTTCAATCCGGAAAACGCAAAACATTCCAAATGGAGCAGCGCGTCCGCGCCGCCATTGGCTCAGCGAGATAGATTAGAGTGATGAGACGCAGATTACTTGTTGCAGAAGCGGACTCCCGCCAGCCCAATTTCCGCTTAAACTGAGATGAAACTTATGTACACCTCGAGATGTACAGTCAGTGTCAAGCACGTGCTCCCTTCCCGTAATCGCGATCGCACGCCGGAGCTTCGCGCGTTGCGCATGCGTACAGTCTGCCCCAATCCTAACCAGGCCAAAATTGGCATGGCGGGAGTCCGCGTCGCGAGGGTTTCGCGCCACTTCTGCGGCTATAGCCGGTCTGCTCTCTCCTCAATCTCGCTCTCTGCGACAGCGCGCGTATGCAGCGCAAACCCCTAGCGCTGCGAGCGCGCAAATTCAGCCGATGGTTCGGCCTGATCCCGATTGGGGCATACTGTATTTCTTAGGCGAAAGGGAGTACGTGATTGACACATGCTGAATAGCAACTGCCTTACCTAGAACGAGTAAACATTTAGATCGTGCAAGTGATTTAGATTCTCTTATCATCTGATGCAGTAGCTTTTGAATTCTTTGTCAACCCTTGTTGAGTGAGCTCGCTAGGACCTCCACTCCAAAGTGCAAAGTATCGCTCCTTGATTGTCGCTCAATAAATCTGCTTTTCTCTTAGGACTTGTTCATGCGTTATTTATGACTGATGGGCATTTGATTTGGCACAATTTCCTTGAATAAGCATTAGCAAAAACTCATGAGCGTCAACTGATGATAAAATCAGCCGAAATTTTCGCTCGTTCACTACCGTGCTCTGATTGCAAATGATGATCCTGCAGCGAAACCATTTCCCGCACCTTTAATCTGCTTTGTGTACCGTTTTGACGTCGACAACATTAATGATGCTTAGTCGATGCCCTGAGCTTGTTAGCTTCCACTTTATTAGCTGAATCTGCATATAGTAGTCCCTTGCATCTTACAGCTCATTCTGCGCATTCTCCTTGATTTCGGCTTCGTCTGACACCTCGTTGATGAATTTTCTCTTTAGGCCCGATGCCCCCGAACTCCTTTCAAAAGCCGGAAACGGCTTTGAAACGGGCACAGGAGTTGATTCAGGTTGGGAAGGAATCCGACGCTCTCGATACGCTTCACGACACTATCAAGGTGACTTCTTTAGCACTGAATTTTTTGGTGACTAAATTTTTTGTCATTGGGACACAAGGGATGGAGTCAACATTGTTGGCTCTGTGGGGTATTGATAAGGCTACCCGATAGTAAACGCAGAGTGGATTACCGGCCTGGTTATTACTTGAATCAATGTAAATAGGAGTATAATCAGAAGATCGATCTCGCCTCCACTCAGAACAAACATGTTTTTTCGGTTGATTTTTCCTTGCTTTTTGTACATTATGAAGTTCTCAGAGATGTTGTGCAAACCTCAGCATTGATTTTCTAATAGAGCTTTGAAGATAATAGATTTCCGCTTACCTCGTTTTGGGGCAAATGCCCAAAAGATTTTGCTTTTCAATTGTGTGCAATCTGTATTGATTACTCACTTAACAATCAGCTGGAATTCTGTCATCTCTATTTTCTCTTTTTCGATTTGAAACTAGTTTTCACCTACCACACAGATTCGAAAACCCTCTTACTTCAGGCACGCCGATACAAGCAATGGACGCAAACTCACGAACAAATAATGATGAAGCATGTGGAGCTATGTGTTTTGCTCAAAAAACCACATGTTGCCAAAGATGCATTGTTTCAATACAAGACATTAACTCATCAGGTTTGATGACTCATCTATGCGTTTCAATCGTAACTTTCACGGTGCTATTTATATAGGTTGCTGTAAAATCACTGGAGACGGTCATAGAACATTTCTTACAAATGGCTGAGCAGAAAACTGAGGAAGCTCAGAAAACTTCGATAGAGAAAGTAGAAGAAATTGATGACCTTGATCAAGGCGATGTACCAGAAACGTGAGTCGAATGTTCCGCTTGAATTTCTCACATTTTACTTCTCTAAATGTGTGGTTTAGATTACTTTTATCCGTTGTATCTGGCGCTGCTGCTCAAGACCGAATGGATAGAACTGTGCTAGCGCCCTGGCTTCGATTTCTTTGGGACTCTTATAGAAACTGTCTTGAGCTGCTACGAAATAATGCGCAGGTATGCATATCGAAGAATTTGTTCTAAAATCGTTGCCATGTCTCATTTCAGGTGGAGCACTTGTACCATCGCATCACTAGAAAATCGTTCCAATTCTGTTCGAAGTATCAGCGACGTACTGAATTTCGCAAACTCTGCGAACTCCTTCGTCTACACTTGAATCAAATACAGAAGCATCAGTATCTCGCTCATGTGTTAGTCTATTTATGCATGCTCTAGGCTTTTGAGAACTTTAGTATTGTCCGCTGATCCAGAAACTATTCCAGAGTGAAGCTTAGCTCTCCCGAGTCGCTTTCTATGATGCAAGAAACTCGACTATGTCAACTAGATACGGCAATACAAATGGAACTTTGGCAAGAAGCGTACAGGTGGTTCACCAGAATCTTTTTTTTTTTCATGGTGAGATCTTTATTTTTTGCTTTGCAGAAGTGCCGAAGACGTCCACGGCATGATGCAGCTGAGCAAAGACAAAGACAAACGTATGGTAAAACCAGCTAGTTATGTCAGTTACTACGATAAGGTTGGCATCGATATCTTTGAATTTGAACATTTGCTTTTTTGCTTCTCATTTTTACATCTTCAGCTAGCTTTGGTATTTTGGAAAGCAGGAAATAGTCTATTCCATGCTGCAGCCTTGCTACAAAAGTTTATTATCTACAAGGTAATTTGAGTTAACGTCTTTGACATTTCTTGAGAAATCTTTGAATTTTAGGATATGAAAAAGTCCTTTACCGCTGACGAAGCTCAAGAACAAGCCAGCCGCGTTTTGCTTGCCACATTGTCCATCCCCGATGGCGCAGATGCTCCATCGGATCTTACTCGTCACCTCGATATCGAGGATCAGCATCTCACCAATATAAGGTCAGTAGGCAGGTAATTTTCAAGAGTTCAAACAGACTGTTTTGTATTTTGTAGATTATTGTCCAACCTGTTGCGTTTGCCTATTGCTCCCACTCGAGCAGGTCTGCTGAGAGAAGCTGCACGCCTGGGTGTACCGGATGTGGCGTCAGAATCCACTAATGCCTTGTACAAACTCCTCGAGAATAATTTTGCCCCGTTGAGGTACTATCTTCTGTCCGATGTCCGAGATATCTGTCCCACCAATGTTTTCCTTTAGGCTTGCGCAAGAAGTAGAAGCCCAGTTGGTAAAAATCGATCGTCCTGACCATCTTCAATACGTAGATGCGCTGAAAGAAGTTGTGGCAACGAAGGCGCTGAAACAGGTTAGGACTTTTTATTATCTAGAAGTTTGGTTTTTGATCATCCGCCGTTGCAGATATCTGTAATCTATGACTCAATAAGTTGGAGTAGAGTGCAGAAGATTATTCCATTTTACAATGAAATGGAGCTCGAACGTCTTGTTGTGGATGTCAGCAAACATCGATTTGTCAAGGTGAGATTTTCATTCACGATTAACAAAAGCGTTGCGTTATTGATGTTTTTCCTTCGGAACTGTATTTTTAAGTTGACTTTCGCTTTTTATGGCACTATCTAGAGCTAAGTGTAATTCTTCCTCCATCAGTTGCACGTAATTTACATATCTGTGCTAATATTATGCGCATATAAAAACTCTGATTACATTTCACTCTGTTAGCTCTAATGCCAAGGGCTAATGTTTGGTTTGGAAAACAAATAGCATTGATTGAAATGTTTTGACTGGGGAACATTGGGTTACTCAACATTAAATCATCTTTTTACCTCGTTGCAGGCTCAAATCGATCACCGCAGTGGCTGCATACGCTTTGGCGCTGCAGACGTAACACTAGCTGGAGGAGTTGATTTGGAAGAGGCTGACGGCTTTACAGGTATGCATTAAAGTTGTAAATTTTCCGAATACATCATTGGGAACCACGCATTTGCCAAGAAGCAGATCTCATAAAGAGTGAAACTTGTTACCACCTAGTTTCTTGAATTTTAAATTTTGCGGTTTTTGTTCTGAATGCAACTCAAAAAAGGCTGTACTTTTTGCATTTACAATATTGGCAGACAAATGCATTAAAATCTAGGAGATGATACCCAGCTTGGTGTGGAAGGCATTCGCACACATCTGGAGTTGATGTACAACAAGCTTCGCTCAACTGTTGAGTTACTTGATGGAGACAAGCGTACTGAGGCTTTGATTGCGAGAGTGAGTGATTCGTTTATTTTTTCTTGCAATCTTGCTAGCCACATTGCCCGAGGAACAAGGTAGCAATTTAGGTGAAACATCATGCGATTAATTACGAGCGTACAAAGAATAGCAAGCAGGAGACCGATCGTATATTAGAGCGTCGCCGCAAGATTGAATATTACAAGGTGAGTTGTTGTTCCAATTTTCCCACATCCATTAGTGGAGCAGCTGATTTTGGTTCAAAATTTTCTTTAGTGGGTTGGCCTTGCCGTGATTTCATTTTCTTCAGGAAACATCGGAGCGTGTAAAGGCTGAACGATCACAGCAAGCTGCGGCCGAACTGGCGAAGCGTGAAGAGGCTAAACGTGCTGAAGAAATGAAACGACTTGAGCAAGAGAACATCGAAAGCGAACGAAGGCGAAGGCTCGCCGAACAGGAAGAAGTGCAAAGAAAGATCAAGCAAGATCAGTTGCGAAGGATGCAAAATACCGCCATCTACCAAGCCATTGTTCGAGAAAAGGGAGAACAAGTCTTCAAAGATATGGATCCCGAAGCTGTGCTCAGAGAACAGGTATCGTAGTAAAATTTGTTTCTCGCTTTGCTAAAAAAAAGAACTTTCAGAGGCAACGTTTGGATAAAGAAAGAATGGAGACTCAACGTCGTCTTCAACAGCAAGATAAGACGTTTGACCACTATATACGTGCGCTTCACTTGGAAGAGATGCTAGAAAGGTGAGAATATGTACCGCTAAACTTTCTGTTCGCAGCTCGTAGCTGATAGCATACTGTCCTCTTCTGTGAATCAGATTGTCTATCAGCAGAGACCTTAGATATTCATATTTACACTTGACGTTAGAAAAAATATTTTTTTCTTTCAGAAAGGCCGTTATGATGAAACGCATGCAAGAAGCTCCCAAACTGCATGAGAATTACGAGAACAGAAGAATACAGAAAGCCATGTAAGTGCTTTTTTTGGCGAAATTTCTTAATGAATAATACTTGCGTATTCAGCGACGATCATAATAATGCCGTGCAGATGTGGGAACGTCTAGATGAGATCCGTAAAGAAGCTAAAGACTGGATTGCACTAGTCAAAGAGGAGAACGCAGAAGACTTTGCTAAAAAGGTCAGTATATTGGTGTTGACCTGTTTTGATGAGCACAAAGTACCTTGTAAATCTACTCGATTTAGACTGCTGATTGGAAGACCAAGTTGAATGCAGTAAGAGCCGCTCGTCTTCAAGAAAGAGCAGAGCAACGCAAGAAGGAACGACGAGAGAAGTGGGCACGGGTAAGCTTTTAGATGCGAATCTGGATTTTTTCATTGACTGTATATAAACTTGTTGTTACAGGCTAAGATTGATGAGGAGCGTCGTCGTCGCGAAGAAGAAGAACGCCAGCGTCAGCAGTTGATAGACGAACAACGACGAGCAGCTAGGGAGCCTAGGGTTAGTCAATGTTTTTCTCTTCTTTTTTACTGAAATTTGTGAACGTTGAGCCGTTAGTATATACGAGATTTACAAAGATGTAGTAGAACTGTTTGATGCAAATGTTGTTTGTGAAATCGTTGAAGGGAGTTTCCTCGGTAGCTGCATTGAGGCCTTTCATTGAGTATTTGCTCAAGTCTCTTTGAAAAAGGTTCATCTTAAAGCAAGTAAAGCGATACAAACTTTTTTTCAATAAAGATGCCGTTTTAGGGACCAAATAGGCGTGAAATGGATATGGATTCGAAAGCAATGGCCGATTCCGATTGGCGTGGTGGAATGCGTGAGCGTCAAGCTATTCCGACCCGTCCAATGCCGGGTCGCGATCGTGATCTAGGTGAACGTCCACCAATGCGCGAACGGGAGGTAAGTCAGGAGTTTGCCATTGCTGAACTATTCTATTCATCCACATTATAGAACATCATATCTGAAGCCGATAGGGACAGCTCTTGGAGGCGTGGTATGAGTACAGGACCGGCTGCACCGCCACCTCCATCGAGATTCCCCGAACGTGAACGTGAACGTGCAACTCGTAAGTGTCGATTTGCTCGAATTTCCTTTTCTAATCAATGAGTTTAGCTGCGCCATTGACCAACGCAGATAAAGACACATCATGGCGAAGCAATCTGGCTCCTGCGCCTCCTCCACCTGCTTCAGAGAGTCAGTTCTTTGCTTGAGACTAATTTGTAAGACATACAATAATTTTGCCATTTCTTAGCTACTCCGCCGCGTCGGGTTGGACCCCCTACTGGTGGCGCACCTGAAGGTACTTGGGCACGTGGTAATGTTGTTAGAAAGGATTCTGCAGCCGCGAATGGTATGTATATCACAGTATATTGTATGAGTTCATTATTCGTTATTTTTCATTCTCTTCAGCTCCTGCAGCTACCAAACCATCAGAAGGTAAATTCATCCCATCGAGGTTGCGAAACCAGGCTGCACAACAAGGTCAGCGTTTTATTGGTATAGCATCAGAGAAAATGCGGTGAATTTAGGAGGAGTACCACCTCGAGACATGGGACAGAACCGTGACAATAGGAGGGTTGGTCGTGGTATGGGAGCTGAGAACGATACGAATTGGCGAAGAAAATGATGGTTATCTTTGTTGTTGGTTGGTTTATAGTTACTTGTCTTCTCACCGCCTATTCTTCGTACACATCCTATTAGTACTGTTAACTGTTGATCCTTCGCTTATTAATCTATTCAAAGCACGTCTTTTTTGTTGTTTTGTATCAGCCGGTAGCGTTCGCGAGTGGTGTCAAAGTTCTATCTGTTAGGTGTGCGTTTCGTTTTATTTGAGAAAAGCTGTTGAATTAATTACAATGTCTTTATTCACATTCAATACAAATAAATATCTGATTTGAATGCTTAAAGGGGGTTGAGATATTGTAAGATTGAGTTGACGATTGTAACTATGTATGGAAGTTCGACGCTGTAATAATGTTTTTAAGCATCTTGGTGTATCTAGGTGTTCTTTTCTAAATTGAATATTGCATGGTTAAGAGTTTTGCTTTCCAGTAAATATTTTTGTAAACAGTTTGCAACAAAAATACTGAAGGTTAGAAACCCATAGAAATTCAACTGATAGCAAAGTTGATAATTTGGGCAAATTTCCAGCAGAAATTCTCAAACTCAGCAAGTAGTAACTTAACTCAGCTAACAAGCCAATCTACTTAGCAATAATTGCATCAAAAAGATCTCAAAATGTTGTCTGTTGAACGAGAACCTACCGCCTTGCCTAGCCTTCTTTCTGAATTGCGGCTTTGTTCTTAAGAAACTCTTGTTCTCGCCTTTTCAATCTTGCTGCTCTCTTTCTGCGAACTTTCTGGGCTTTCTTCTGCTTTTTCGTTAATTTTGGTTTCGGTCTTTTGATTATCTTCGGAGGTGGCTTTTCTATTATACTGAAATTGCATTAATCGTTTCGATTAAAAGCGGTTGAAATTACTTCAAATCCTGGCATTTAAGGCCGTATTTTCACCGGATAAGTCTGTCCTCAGAAAAGTCTGCTACAGACAAGTCCTTTTTTTCATTACAACTACCTTTAAATTTTGCCAATCAAGTCCGAAGCGGAGACGTATCTATCTGCGGGGAGGCCTTGTATTCCAGATTAGGCTATGTTTATGATGAGGATGGAGCCAGCGTTCTCAGCGTAACGGCGCTATTGTAGGGTCAACAGGGGTGAGCAGTTTGTTCCTCGCTACGAATTTTCTTTGGATACCTATGGCTGGAATAACAACTTTAAATCTGGGCTTAATGCTGAGGTTATTTGTTCGCTACTACTGAAGCCAATAAAACTGAAGAAAATACGTTATCCTTCGCGCTAATTGTCAAAACGAAGATCCGATTGTCATCGATTTCCGCGATGCCTGCGTCGCATCGGCGACTCGGTTCAGAGTAGACGAATTTTGAATCAGCACCATTCAACCCAGCTTGACGCTGCATGTCATCTGATATTGTAGGCATACAATACGAATTTTACGATCCTCTTAGATTTCTGGTGAAAGTTCATGCATGTTGTACGTACACACATTAATCGCTGCTAATGGCTATAGTCCTTATCCCAGTCAGATCTTTTGGTTTTGGATCTGGAGGAGCAGGCCAGCAACGGTAAAATACGGAACACTCATTGTTTTGATTTGTCTTAGAAGGGAAGCATGTTCAGTCGAAGCGGCCTTTTCAGATGGGATGTATATCATATTGAAGCACCAGAAGCGCTAATTCCAAATCTGCCTTCCTTATCTGCGGACGTTGATGGATGAGGAGTTACGAGCATTTGTCAATGCATACTGCTTATTTTTAGGATAAAATGAGTTGCTAAAATCTTACTAGCCCTGAAATGTGATATAGTTTTGTCTTAGAGTATTAATTGAGTAAAGCGCTCTGATATTTATCGCTGCTTCATTAAAGTGCTGGAAAAATACAACGGATGTTGCCATTAGCACACTCAATTTTTTGCTCCAGTCAACGCTTATAACCTCTCGTCCGTAAACGTTAAGCAGATTAGGAAGGCAGATTTGGAATCAGCTTTTCATGCCCTCCACTATGGTAACCATCCCATCTGAAAAGGTCACTTTGCTAAACATGCTTCCTTTGTTAGACCGTGTTTTGCTCTAGTTTAATCGGTCGCTCAAGTTCAAATTTCAAACCGTCCACCAGGTGTATTTTGGAATGAGGAGACTATACCTACCATACGCCTAACGTACCTAGAAAGACATGTTTGATATATTAACAGATTTCTACACCGAGTTGTGATGAAGAGTGCCGCTGGTTGATGATCTTTATGTGCTCGAGATATGACAAGTTGACGATTCCGCTGACAATCGCGCCAATTATTCAGAAAGTAGGAGCGATATTCATTCATCTTTGAAAAGTTGCGATCAAAGTAGCCAGGAGACTTTTGTGAACGTCATCTGCCGAATTTATTAGAATACTAATTGTAAGGAGGTTCGGCAAAATCCACTTCCGAACTTTTTGGATTTTTTGACCCAAATTTGTCGTGTCTGAGCTAGCTTAATGTTAAAAGCACCTATGGTGGAAATATCTAATATGTAAAGGATCGTAAGCTCAATTCAAAAATCACCAAATAGCGGGAAACCGCGGTCTCGAAGCACGCGCCTGACATAGCACCTTTAGATTACTGGTTCACTATTTGATAACAGGAATGCGATGATATTCTGGATCTATAAACTAGTGACCAGTAATCTCAAAGGTGCTAGCTGCAAGCGCTCTACTTCGGAACCCGCTCGGTTTCCCGCTATCTGATGATTTTTGAATGCACCTTACGATTATTTATATATTAGATAGATTTGTCATTAGGTTAGCATCGTTAACTGGCTAAGTCGAAGATATAGTCCGTGTCAATGATAAGCTCCCTTGCCGATTAGCTCGAGCGCAGCTAGAGCTCCGGGCGATCCCTGGCGTACCCTTGAGCGTTCAAGTCTGCCGCAACGATGGCAGGTGACCGCGCGATGCCCGCGCTGCGAATTCGTAGCTATAGTCGATTCGTTGACTGCACGAAGTGGACATCACTGTGAAGCACGCGCCGCGAAGTAAAACGGTACATGGAAAAGGGAGCACGTGGTTGACACCGGTTGTACATGCGCTTACGTGATCTATTTACAAACTCACTCTTCTGGACAAGGTATGCAGAAAGCTTCTTTTGGTGGAGGCGGATTTCCCATGTAGCATCCAGCAAGCAACGGAATCTTTCCTTCAGTTACGAGAAATATAAATGACGAGTCGATCGAAGCATGGATTTGTGCGTGTGCTTGCAATACATAGTCACTTTTATGATGAGATCGAAATGATATGGGCAGTGTTGAGTTTTTCTGAACACTAATAAATTTTTACAGTGAGAAAGACATTATTTCTATGCTTACTTTCAATCCGAGATCTTTGACTCCGATACCATCAGCATTCATCGAAAATTTAGCCGCGCTCCAAATCGCTTCAATAGGTGGAATGGCTTGAATTTCCTTGGAGTTTTCGGTGGCTGAATAATCATTGTCAATCATATATGAGGCGAATCATTTTTGCTTCGACAACGAGAGACGCAGTCCTGCCCAAGAATAATCGTTGCATAGTCTGACTCTATTTCTTATTTCCAAAACGTCAAGAAAGATCTAAAAAGGGTTTTTTTAAGTTGATGCATTTTCAATTCCAGTTAACAAATAAACAAATGCACATCTTGACTGGTTATTCAATCACATCTAAACATTCTAAGCCCTGTCGCTGTTTAGACTATGTTCAGAGTTTTCGTGTGCCAGCTCCAACGAGGCGTGCCCCGCATTGGTCGATCGGCCAGCACGGCCCTGGCACGGGCAACTCTGCACGCAGTCTTAGCTCACAGGCATCGCCCTTCGCTTTTGAAATTCTTCGTCAATGACAATTTAGGACAATGTTTCAAATTCGATGACTATGCAAACGCCTTCATGTGCCCTTATGCAAATTCCATGCTTTTCACAAGTCGAATTATGAGCGTAGAGAATTTGAATCTACCGTTTTTTGTCCAGCTTTTTAACATATCCTCTTCGCATTTTATTGAGAACACTGGCAGAACGACTTTATACGGTTTGCTCTGTAAATACAGATTTTTTTGAACATTAGCGTTCCCAAAAAATTTGTCTAGACCTTCGAAATTTGGAATTTTACCTTTGTCTCAGCCAAGCCTTGAAGAATATCGTGCAAATCTTCTCCCTCCATATCTCGTCTAAGATTATGTAATTCTCCAATAAAAATGGGTCGGATAAGAATTACACCAAATGTGGTTTTTTCTGCTTTCACCGGGACTTCCAATATCTTGCAGTAATCTGACTTTATGAGGAAATTTTGTGAACGAGGTCACTAACCTCACATTGATGCATGTGAATCACTTTTGCTTCAGTTTCTAAGTAGAAATAAGGATGATTTTGTCGTGTGGAATACGTGGATGCAAACGCCGACGATGTTGCAGGTTTAGCCTAAAGAATATCTCAGAAGAAAAACAATTGATTCTTTCAAGTTTTACGAATTTTGATGATTTGTTCTTACCCAAACAATGCCTGAAACTCTTTTTAATTGAAATTTTATGTAAAAATTGCTCAAATAACACTCTCAATGGCTACGTTTATTTAATTTGTATGGACTGTGTGATTTAGCTCACTTCTCCACACCAGCGAGCTTGAAGACCTGCTGCAGCGTAAATTGTCGAGAATCCATGCGAGAAACGTGGGCCATTGATTGCACCAGCGCTGATGGAACCCAAAAATTGTTCCACTTTTCGTGGGGGGCAGCTTAACACAACCTGAAAGATATACAACAGATGCATGCATTCCAAGCAGCAATAAAAGCGGTATAAAAGTGTACTAGCACTGAATATAGTGCTTCTACGGTGGCAGCAACATTTACGCGTAAGATTGGTCACTGACCGAGTACTCCTCAGTTTTGCGCGTCATAGCAGTTTTGAACGCGAGTGTTGTCCGCAGCATAAGGGCATTACATTAAGGGATCGGCCATACTATTCCTGCTATTCCTACGATTCCTGCGATTCCTGCGATTCCTGTGATTCCCGCACAGTTTATACGCCGCTTAAATGAGCGCATGTTGCGTGTTAGGCCTCGGACAGACTTCAAGCGATTTGATCGTCGCGACTGAATCGCGACGAGACAACTGTTACAACATCATTCCATGCCGATCAACTTGCATTTCGGTTATGATACTTTTCCAGCCCAAAATTTTTGAATGTGAAATGAAAATGAATGGACATGTCGGCGATTGAGTCGCGACGATCAAATCGCGTGAAGTCTGTCCGGGGCCTTACGTGTTGTTTTATGCAACACGCGTTCATTTAAGCGGCGTCTAAACTGTGCGGGAATCACAGGAATCGCAGGAATCGTAGGAACTGCAGGAATAGTATGGCCGATCCCTAGCCGTCAACTTTACAAGCTTAGATTCTATATGATAAAGAAAAATTACATAGGATCCCAAAAAATATGCCTACTTTTGATTGTTAATGACTCTCTTGTCATGAAGTTTTTCGAAAAGCTTTAGGTGTCATTTTGTAGAGCTGGCTTCAGTAGATTTGCATTATGGAGCGATTTATTTGCCAGTCTTCTCCATTACTGTGGGATTACGGTAGGAACTTGATGCGTGTTTTGCATCTTTGAGAGTCATTTTTCACCTCTAAAAAAGGGTTGAAGAAGCTGAAACCTTCTTAAATAACTCAATAGTCGCTGATTTCAAATATGAAACTCGCACTCCAGCGTAATTTTCTGATAAGTTATGCAAGATACACCGTAAAACCAGTTTTTGATGTTCGTCAAAGGTTTGATCAGGCCACTCAAAAAACTCTGAGGACAAAAAGTTGCGTAGTGAAATGAGCATGCATGAAAATCATGCCATCCAATTTTCCAGATTTTGGTGAAAATTTTCTTCAAACGACTGTCACACAGTGGAGCCATTTGCTGCGAATTCGTACCGTAGTCTTACAGTAATGAAGAGACCCGGTATCTCGCTCCGTGCTACTATGAATCTAAGTTGAAGCCAGCTCTACAAATTGGTACCCAGATCTTTCCGAAGGATTTTATGACAAGAAAGTTATTAACAAAATTAATAGGCACATTTTTCGTGATATTCTGTATAAAGCCGAATATTTGTTTGTCTGTAATGTACAGGGTGTCTTAAAGTCTAGTAGCCTAGTATTTTATCTGATGAAAAAAGACGAAGTACGAATTTCGTTCTCGATAGTGCAAGCTTTTCGCCGAACACGAATTTGCGACCAAAACGTGTGGAGAAAATCGAGAAACTTTGAAAACCCTATTTGCAGAATAGTATCTTTCTCTGCCTCCCTCTCTCCTTCCTCTTGTATTATTTCTTTTGAGTTAAATTCTCACAGGCGACGTCAGTATCTTGTAAATGCTTACCTCGCTTTGTGTCAAATCTTTCAGCTTATCCATAAGTCTGGATGACACTACTGTTTTCTTTTCGTCGTCTACAATAATTTTCACAAATGAAAACATCGTCGAAGGAGGGTGCTTAGGCTGGGATGCTATTATGTCGCGTAACCCTAGAATAAAACGACATCAGCGTTCGCATACGAGAATAGTACCTCCAACTCCAAAGCGCTACAAACAGTCTGTGATGGAATACTACTTATTTCACGTCGCGTCTTGATACAGCTCTAGCTCCTTGATATATTTTCAAGCTTTGAACAATGAAAAACTCTTGTACTCATTGGAGCGGGTCTTTTGAGGTTATGTTTAGCATGAGAGCAAAAGTATGAGTTGAAGGAGAAGAGAGAAACAATATGAGGTAGCACATTCGCGACGATTACTGGTAAGGATCTTGGATATGCTTTGGAACTTAAAGACAGCGTCCCAGCTGTCATTAAGTTCCAAAGCACATCCAAGATCCTTACCAGTAATGAGGGGGGGGGGGTACCTGGCCCTGGTAGTAATGTAATAGTAGACCTTCTAGCTAAGCGACTACAGAAGTCTGCAGCGCGAAAGGAACTCTACAAATCGCCCCCAAGTGGCCCGGATCTTACGGTAGGCTCGGACGAGTACGAGAAGCATGCAAGGTAGTGACGCAGAGTCGTTGCGGGACCCTGCGCTGATGACTGTGTGCGTTACGCGTGGCTTTGCAGTTAAATCGCTGTGTGGGCGGCGTCCGGACCTACCGTAAGATCCGGGCCAATTTCGGAGCAACGTTCAGGCTTGGTAGATCCCCTTTTTCGCTCCGAATTTCAGTCATCGCTTTGGTAAGGGTCTATTTTAACATCGCCACAAAAACCCAGCACCCATTCTTCTGAAGGGATGCTGCCTTTAACGGCAGCGGACAGCAGAGGTAAACAGTAAATAAGTGGAAAATCAAAGCAAGCTGGTCTATTGTGCTATGCTGCCATCGTTCTCTATTTTTTCCAGTACTTCTTCTCATAGACCACACATTTGCAAAAGAATATTGTTAAGTCATCGCTTTTACTTGTACTTGTGGTGGTCAGAACACTTAAGAATAATACATTTATTAGATGGCTGGATATCATAACTTATAATAACGGGCTAAGGGTTGTTTACGTTTGTCTGTCTGTGTGTGTGTCTGAATCTCTGTCTGTCACGAAATTCGTAGAGCGAGTTCCAGCAAAGGTCTTGCGCTAGAATTTTGGTAGTAGCACCCTATCAGCATGTAGGTAAAATGTGCAAAAGCACAAGCCGATCCAATAATTGGAACCTGTGAAATTGTGCGCCAAACGGATCCACGCGACATTTCGCGCGCCAAAGTGGGCCTGTAATTGGACTTTTTCCAAAGTCATGGTTTCGTTTAGCAAGCAAATCCGCAAACCATGGACTCCAGCCCGAAAAGTGAGCAAAAAGTTCACTTCCATGCAAGATCGGCGCCAAAAAAGAGTAATTACGTAGATGATCGATTTGTCAAAGTTTTACTTGGGAATGTGAGAAAATTTTTGCTCAGTGATATCACTCAGGGTTGTCGTCATCTTTATGGCGACTATCAAGCCATTATAACCCCAGTAACTGATTCAGAATCGCATTTAATCTTTTGGAGAGTACCTTCTTTCCCTCAAAGACACCAATCTTACATGAAAAAGCTTTAGGAATGAGTAGTTGTTTACACTTCATTCGTGATGATCGGCATCGCGAGGTAAGTTTCAAAGCCATCATTTTGGGACAACGAGGAAGGCATGTGAATAGTAGAGCCAGTGCGAAGCAGAGGCGACGCTTTGGCTCTACTGGCTCTACGCACTGGCTCTGACGCACGCACGCACGCACAATTCACAGAGCGAGCTACAACCAAGGTTTCAAGCCGATTTTTTGCACAGCATACGCTCTTAGCATTTAGGTTCACTATGTGCATGGACGAGCGGAACCGATGCACCGTTCCTTTGAAATTCGCACGTGAAGCGGGTCCACATCGCTTCTAATGAAGAAAATTGAAGGAAAATTTCCACGATTTTGGTGATCAGTGATTGGTTCTGTTGAAGACCCTATTGAGCATGAGCATAGGAATAAAATTGTTCGAAAATCTTAATTCTCTATGAAAGAGACGCCAAAAAAGATAGCTCAGCTTTCTTTCATATTTTCTAAGGAAACTCATGTAAAACCGAGGAGATTTTTGCTCAGAGATGTGGTATGTGGTAGCTGCCGCCTTCATGTTAATCATTACAACCTCAGTAAGTTATTGAAAATCAAATTTATTTCTTGAAAAAAGTTCTTTTCTACAAAGTTACCGCTCTAATGTGGTAGAACCTTTGCAATGGATAGTTGTTTACATTTCATTGGTGATGATCAGCATTATTCGGGGAGTCTTAGTTATAATAACTGTTAGAAAAAGAGAGGGCACTGAGAGACGCTGAGACGGAGACACCAAACCCTTGATTTTACGCGGCAGAGCTCACTATTCAGAAAAGGCCTAGAATCGTTAGAAGTTTTTGCTTGATAAAGTGTGGAGTTTTCTGAATTCTGTTAAACATATCACAATCCTCTTTTTGAAGGAAGCTCTTAGCCAAATGCTGCAAAAACGCTGCATACTTGAGCTCAGGACATGCTTGAAAACTATTGCGGTGAGGAGAGCGGCGTCCCCAATGATAAAAAGCGCAGCGACGTTTCGCATTAGTAATTTTAACAATAACATTGAGCCCACAGCCCCATACACACACAACAGCCCCTTTATACGGGGAGCACACGGGTCTCAGAGCTCAACAGTACTTTGGGCGGACACCAAATACGTAAAGTAAATTATTTGTGTTAGGTCTGGAGCAAGTTTTCCTCTTTCGCGTGTGCCTTCGCAAGTGGCCATTGACTTGATTTGGATGTTTTAGTTGTAGAACCAACCCTAAACGCTCATTCTGGCCAAACAACCCGCAAGCCTATCTTTTACTAGGTATATTCGATGATTATCAAGACTTATAATAACGGGCTAAGGATGTTTACGTGACTTTGTGTGTGTGTTTGTGTGTCTGTTACGAAATTCGTGGAGCGTGTTCCAGCAAACGTCCTGGGCCCAAATTTTGCACAGCACATGCTACCAGCACAAAACTCCACCATGCAAAAGCATGAGCGAATTCGTTGAGTGGATCCCTCAGAAATTGCGCGCCGAACGGGTCCACCTGGCTTCTGTACCGCAAAATACGGTTCGTATCACCTCTTTTTGCAGAGTCTGGATGAGTTTGGTAAGCAAATGTGCAAGCGATGGAGTTTAGGCAGAAAAGTGGTCGAAAGTTTACTATATAACGAAAACGGAGCCAAAACGAATTTGTGCAAATGGTCAATTTGCCAAGGTTCTAGCTAAGCGTTTGAGAAAATTTCCGCACAGAGATGTAGCTCACGGTTATCATTACCTTTATGGCGACTACCAAGTCATGACAAATCCAAAAACCTATTCAAATTTGCGTTTGTCTTCCTGCGAAAAGTTTCATCCACGCGAAATCACCGATCTCACGTGAAAAGACTTTCTAAATGAGTGGTTGTTTACATTTTATTTGTGGTAGTCGGCATAGCGCGGTGAGTTCCAGTGCCACGATTCTACGAGAATGAGTAAGGCACATAGATAGTAGAGCCAGTGCGAACCTCTGCGAAGCAGAGGTGATGCACTGGTGAATAATAACTGAAGACTGACAAATGAATAAGTAATCTAACAAGGAAAGTATCAGAAGTCGCAGTGGCCTTTTGAGATAAGAAGGTATCATCTGAAACAGCTTGAAACGTTAGTTCTAAATAGCCTCCCTTAAGTGCAGAATAAGTCTGGGTCGGGAGTTATGAGATTCAAATTATCATTTACATTTTTTAAGGTACTCTGTGACCATGGAAATGCTCCAAATGTGCTTGTTAAAACTACAGCATAACACTGGGGAAGCCGTAGAATTACGTTCAGCATTGATGAACTGATATTTATGCTTCAGCCCAAAATATACGAGCTCGATAGTCTTGGCAACTCTCAGCCCTGTGAATTTCCCGCAAATAAATTCAGTAACTCTCGACGCAGATTCGTTCTGCAGCTAAAAAAAGCTGTTTTGAAATCAGCGCTTCAAGATGCTTTAGATGATATCAGTGGCAGTCGCAGGATTTCGGATCGGGGGGGGGGCGACAAAAATTTTTTTCCAATGAAGGTGCGTGGCGTTAGCCACGCACTCCGAAATTTTTTTTTGGGTGCTTCTCAAAATTTTTGCGGGTCCCCAACCCCTAAAATCTGGAAAAAGGGGACGTGGCGTCAGCCACGCCCCCGAAAAAATTTTTTTTACAAGGCTAATTTGAATTTTTGAAAAATTTTAAAATTTGTTTTAATTATTTACAAGTATAAACAAGTCACTTGCACATTTTTATAATCCATATAAGTAACTTAATTTCGCGACCGATTCTCGGGGGGGGGGGCCCCCCCGGTCCGCCACTGGATGATATATATCTCATGTCAAATATTGTTGCGATTTCTGACACTTCCTTGTAAGAAGAGGCACCTTGCGCTCATTTTCCACGCATACAATGTCAACAGATCTTTAGAAATTAAGCAATAGCAGTGCAAACAAAACAAACACAATGTTACACTCCAGCATCTTCCTCCTTTGATTATCAATTGTATATCTTTGATAGGTATATGCTGATGCGACGTGGTGGTTGAAGTGTCCTTTGCGACCGACGGCGAACTGGCGGCGGGACGTTGGAATGAGGGAAACATCGCTTCCTGGATCCGCACCAGTAGCTTATTGGCGGTCCAGTGGGATTCGTCCTGGGCAGAGGGAACATTAACACACATGGCGGGCGAATTTAGGGAAATGTTGAACTTTCTTGACAGCATGTGGTGACATGGGAAGCGCGCAAAAGCGTAACTGGTTGGCATGGCGTCCGCGAATCCTTCGACTTTCACGTTGTCGAGAGGGCGACCAATCTTTTGTACACGTCCTGCAGTCCATGTAGGTTTCGATAAATTGCGATGGTCGCTATCGTAGGTGGCCTCGTAAACTTAGAAATTTTTTCTTGGCTTCATATCGGCGGCTACACTTCCATCGCAGGCTTCGATCCGGGCCGTATGTAGGTGTGATAGTTGGAGCGTCATTGATCAAACTGTTTAGAGTATCGATCGTGGCCCGCAAAACATCTCGGTTGGCGAAGAAAGGCAAGACTACAACGTTGGGAAAGCAGCAGCTTCGACAAGCTTTCGGAAGGTTTCATTCCTTCTTCTTGCAGCTCAGAAGGTTCTTCTTGAAGATTTTAACGAGGCGTTCAACGAGCCTATCCAACTGTGAGTGATGTGGCGGCGTAAGAGTGCCTTTTTGCAGAGGTCTGGAAAAATTGGGAAGAGAATTGGGTGCCCGAAACAAGCGTTTCCGGAAACACACATTTACTGAAGTTCTTCATGAGTTCCTGCGTGGTATGTGACGTTGAAGACTGGATTTCCACGATTTCTTGGGCTAGTCCACGACAACGAGGACTTAGGAACCCATACCTAATTAGCCAGGCTCGGGGAATGCCTGCAGGACACAGTCATGCTCGCTGTCTCCGATTGCTTCCTAGAATATGGCGACAAATTAAGCCCTACCCCATTGATAGCCTGTTTTGGAACGTGGCCAAGGAATGCTGCGAATCCCAATTGAACTCCAGGTTAGTAGAACTGGCTCTCAGCCAAAAACCTTCAGAATGACCGTGAAAAACCATGCGTAGGTTCTGGTTGCGGTCTGAGTCTGCCGCGCTCTGCCGCAGCTCTGCTCAAGTTCAGATTCGAACTTGTCCTCCTGATGACTAGTGGGGTGGGGACGACTACCACTTCGTGAACCTAGAGGAAATACATCTCTCTTCGCAGAAACTTTCCTCTGCTGGCTTTTTTGAACAACGGCATCTCGGAAAGTGCATCCGGTCAGGCGGCACGTCTTTCACAGTAACTGGCAGCTGGTTGAGTGTTTTAAGCGGTGGTGTCATCCGTATTTACGGTAGCAATGATGATATCTCATCCGATTCACTCCGGCAAGAAAGCAGCCGGGAGGAAGCACTGGCCCGTCCAGACGATGTCGTGAACACTTGATGTCGAGATCACAAACAAGCAATGTCATCGTCATTGTTGCAGACAGTTGGCAGTGTAGGTAGGCAGTGTAGGTACTCCTTTCTTGCTTTTGAAAATAATGAGTAGAGGGCAGTGGTCCATGAGCAGAGTGAATCGTCATCCATAGTTGTAGCGGTGGAACTTCTTGACCGAAACCCACGGCCAATCCCTCCTTTTCAATCTGCAAATAGTTCCTTTCTGCAGTCATTGAGGCATGGCATAAACGGTCCGCAAAGTGAATGCATGCTGTAGAATGAAAGACGAGTAAGACGAAAACTTCAAGGTAATTTGAGTTGCTTTACATCTTGGGGCGGGGACATATAGGCAATGGCTCCAGTCCTCTCGAGGTCGGAGATTGCGTCTACGATGAATTCGAAAAATACTTACTAGGCTCAATAATGGCAGTTCTCGAGGCGAACACGTATTCCATGTTCTTGAAGACTTTGAAATAACTTGAAGACGTCCGCGTCATACTCCTCACGAATTCTTTCTGACCACAACATTGTTAGATAAGCAACGGCTCCACTGATGTCGGCGGTGAAGTCACTCATCAGCGTTTGGAAGGTCTCAGGGCACTTTTCACACCAAATGATAGGCGGTTGTAGCAAAAGAGTCGACAGGATAAGTTGATGGTCAGTAATTCCTTGGTCTTGTTCGTCCATCTCTACTTGAAAGCAGGCATCACGCAGGTCTATGTTGATAAAGACAGTTCTCCATTCAACTTGGTAAAGACGTTTTCCGCGGTTGGCAATGTCAGGTCGGGGTGGAAGGCCGCCAGTTTGAGCCGCCTTTTGCGGCAAACTGATCTTTTTGCAGTGTCGTTGCATGTAGTTCCAGGCCCAGTAGTGTGCGGAGGCGCTTCAAACCGGCGGCTTTCGTTCCCCTACCCGTGTGTGTCGGTTTAGCGATGCGCCCAGTGTCCTTTGTTCTACAACGAACACTGGGCGGACACTGTAGCACACGTCATCACGGCGGGAACGTCTACTCGACAACTGCATCGGGAAGTTCGCGGGTGCTTGCTCGGCCACCAATCATCCATGCCGCGAGCTGCCCGGTATGAACCGATATTGGACCGATAAGTGACCGCGGCGCATCCTGTAAGCGCCCGATAGATGACCCGATTAGCATGCTTGTGAGGCCTAGGAAGAGTGAAAAATCTTTTGGCCTGTCTTTCATGACAATGACTTGAGTGCAAATTGAGCAACTTGTTGGCTCATCTGTCGACATCATTTAATGTCGTCGATAACACTCATCCGACTGCTGAAGTTGGTTTCGTAAGCATAAAAACTTAACTATCAGACAGAACCAAACCCAAGAAGCGATTACCGACCCTTACAAACACTTAGGGTAGCCCCATCACTGCGGCGTACCCCACGCGGGTTGCGCCTTAACCTACAGCGTGTAAGAAGTACGGCCTTTGATAAACCCGCGGCCCGCCGAATGATGTGATTGGGCCGCGACTCTCCCGATACCCTCTTCCCAATTTCAACTTTGGCCGCGGCGTTCCCGGTGAAATTCGCATGGGCCGCGGCGTGTGCGGCTGAAATTTTAAGGGCCGCGGCGCGTCTTGTAACACGCTTTGAGGCCGCGAACTTTCCGATGCAATTGTCTGAGTAGGGTTCCGCCGCGATGACGTGTGGAGACATGTGGAGAGATCCTCGCTATCAGATGGGTGTCTGGTACTACGTTGCGGATGTGGTAGACGTTGCTTCTTCTTCTGAATAGGAGCGATGACTTCATCTTAGACCGGCGCAGGAGACATAGATCCAATGAGGGCAGCATGCGGACAAATACGCGTTGTACTCGGCATTCACATCCTGCATTTAGGCATCTGCCTCCCAGCGTCACTTTATTTGTATGTTACCCTCGGATCCAAACATATTTCATCAGATTTGGCCTCGACTACATCTAAATGAGTCCGGAAAAGCACGACCCAACGTTCTCTGAGGTGTCCTTCACGACGTGTAGAGAGTTCCATTTAAGTTGAAACAATGTCGCCTTTTCGCCGAATAGTGATATCATCATATCGCGAGTTCTTCAAATGACAGCTCCAGGGCTGGACGCCGCGCCAGGTATCCTCTTAGCTTCGCCTCAGCGGCATTTTTTCAATTACAAAAGGGCACAGCGGTCCTTCCTGACATCGTTACTGAAATGGTCGAATCTTTAAAACCAGTATTGAAAAACAATCGTAGATGAAGCACGATAATCGCGACGTAAGTGCAGAAGTTTTGCCAACGTGGGTGTAACTGAATGGTTCAACCGTCGTAGGAGGTTGCACTGCCCCTCAGACTGCTATTTCGACTTCAGGTGCTGGTTCGCATCTCCCGGAAGGTCCTTGTTCGACTAGTTCGAATCAGTAAATCTTCATCCACTCCGCGCGTGTCGTCCAGCACTGATCGCCATCTTCGCTCCTACTTGAACTTGTATTCGTAGCGGTGGTCAGGACACTTGAGAATTATTAGATGAGTGAATATGATTAAGAACTGGGGACTGACGAACGGAAAAATAATCTAAAAAGAGCACCTCATATGGCACTCATTTCCCGCGCATAGGTCAATACAACGTTAACAGATCTTTAAAGATTACAAGGCAATAGATACCATCATAATTTTCATCGAATTCTTTGCATCAATAGATGTAACAAGAGTAATTTGGACGCTGACCGTGCATTCTCTGCGAATTAAGTTCATCATCTTCTTGTCTGCTCTTGCGTCCACTTTTTTTCTTCCTTGGCATGGCAATCCGTACAGCATATAATGCACACATCGTAGGGATTGGCGCAAAAATCTCAATAATCGAAGAGTGACAGCTTATCGTGGTAAAATATCTCTTACCTGATTCATGGATTTCTCGTGTAATGCCTCAAGTTCAACCAACATCTTCAATGTCCACCTACACACAGTATTTGAAGCAGTGGCTAATTGAAAGTCTAGTGTTGCTTTTTGAAACCACATTAAAGGCAGTGTCCGGGCAAGAACTCGATTTTGAGATTTTGTGCTTACCCGGGCCTATTCGCTATGCTGACTCCGAAAATCCACATCGGAGAGCGCGAAAACGACGAAAAAGGGCTCTAACACTGGAAGGAAATCAGCAAGTGGGCGGGGTCTTCCCCACTGTGAATTCACACTTCCAGCTTCCAGAGCAATTTCCTCGAATCCGTTAGCCGCCCTGACATCACTACCGATCAAGTGCAAACGAATGACTTGAAACCGGAACCAAGAATATCGCTCCCGAAGCTGGGAGCGTGATTTCATAGTGGGGAAGACCCCGCCCACTTGCTGATTTCCCTCCAGTGTTAGAGCCCTTTTTCGTCGTTTTCGCGCTCTCCGATGTGGATTTTCGGATTCAGCATAGCGAATAGGCCCAAGTAAACACGAAATCTCAAAATCGAGTTTTCGCTCGGACACTGCCTTTAAAGCCAGAAACTGAATTCTACATTGCAAAGCGTTTACAGTTCTCAGCACCAAAAGATATCTTCTTAATGGGTACTAGTTCAGGAGCGCTTGTTTTACGCCTTGGCCTTAATTTGATATGTATAGGACCTGAATCTGCCTATGTTTTTTGTTTGCAAACCAGACCAAAGTCTCTAGAAAAATAGATAACACATTTTTTTAGAAGCTCAAAGAGAGCTTTTGTGACATCATTTGGCAAGGCCCATTGGTTTTCTAAATAGATCTCTTTTCGGGTGAGATTCTACGTCTATATAATAGATGGCATATATCTTGTGACTGTTTGCGAAACATTAAGTTTCTAGCAATGGTTCGATTTTGCAAACCTCAAAAACGTCCTCTGCTACTCAAAAAAATGAGCGTTAGGTTGCCCCCACCGTCAAACAGTTTCTTCGAAAAATACCTTTCAGCGATTGGTACGATGCTTCCACGTAAACGCCGTTTTTTCGGTTTTCTCCTACTGGTCCTTCTTCGACTTGGCCAGCTCAAGCACCTCTGTAACTGTGAGGTTTCTTGATATCGAGTAAATATTTTGGTTACTTTTCGTCTCAATCGAGGGTTTGGTGACTTTCCAGATTTAGGAGTCGAAGACTTTCTGTTGTCGTCCATTGCTAAAACTTATACATAAGCAAGGAACCTCTGCTTCAGCAATTTTACATTCAGCATCTGAATCGCTTATATGAAGAGCGTCCTTGAAATACCGCAGCATCGTTGCTCTCAGAAAAAATGAAGCTTCCCTTATTCTTACTCGCTGTCGATATAACACCGTTATCAGTATGTAGGACAATAAGTGGCAAACTCTATGGAATCATATTCACGAAAGTCTATAATGAAGGAAAATGGACTTTTTCATCCCATCGGATTCGTCTGCGGTGGAGACTGGTCGGAATGTGCTAGAAGCTTGCTTGTTTGCTTTGTTGCCTTTTTTATGCACTCATCGGCTTCACAGCTCAACAGTTTTCCCGCAAACCTTCTATCTAAATCCACTCATTTTGTGGAGTTTTTGGTATAATTGCATCGTTTCGGAACTAGACAGGTTTGAAGTGTTATTCATCACATTCACTCTTGCAAAGAGTGCAAAACTAACAGATTGGTACACCATTATGGGTCTTTGGTCTAAATTATGTGCCTGAAAAGCGAGTTTTTGGTCGGCTGTATTAATTAACTAGCTGGCTTACCCGGCTCCGCCGTATAGAAGAACTTAAATACTGCGAAATGGCCGTTGTCATTGGAGCGCGTTTTCATCTCAGAACTTAGCGCTGTGCTCCATTTTCGTAACATGTGTTCTTTTCTTGCTTGAATCGTGGACCTTTCCTCTTTTAGATGTTCTGTACTGTCTCGGTTTTGCTCGTTATTTGTCATTCTGTGATTGTTTCATATTGTTCACCTTCCAGAGTGCAATTCTTGTGGAAAAATGTCCGGTGGAAGCGGTGTTCCTCTGTCGGATCGGCTAAACGTGGAAAAAAACCAGCTGGACAAGAGCATCAGAGACTACCACATTTTAGACCATCCTGACGGGCAGCTACGACCAACATATACACTTATTCGATTTGAGGAAAACTAAGGAGCCTTTGCGGATCGAGGAGGTAAATCCGTTTCCTAGCACTAATGCAAGGCTCAATCCTTTTCAGACAGCTGGAGGTGTTTGGTACATAGAAGATGTTCAAACACATGAAAATCGTCATGTAGCTGCTTGCATGTATGGTGGATGGGCAATCCTTGATGAAAAATATAACATATGACAATCAGATGAGAAAGCTGGGAAGGAACTTTTGTACGGTGTAACAATGGCTAGCGAACATTTGGTGGTTTATACAACTTTCAACGACTATAGGGTCACTGCCATACCATATGATATTTCTCGTCGTCTTTGAATTACCTTTTCATCCTTTTATTTTTTATTCTTTTCGTCTTTGCATAGATTATGAATCACAGATATACAGCCAAATTCAGGCTATGCCGATTTTACATTGGTTTTGATATGTACAAACAATATCATAATACCCTGGAAGCATTTCCAACATGAGATGAATCTGTAAGTGCTGCGTTTTGAGGGCTGCAGGGTAGCACATAGATATCCGTTCCATGCCAGCGTTTCGATAGGTACATCTGCGTAGGAGAACTATAGGGGAAAAATATTTCACATGAAAACTTTGAAACATCTCCGCTTCCAATCTTGAAAGAGAAAATAAGATGAACCAAATAATTTACCTATGGGTGCTTTGCAAACTTCACCATAAACAACATTGATCAAAGGTTCCGACGTGACGAATTCAAACCGCAATCTCCATTTCAAATGTACTGAGAAAGATTTCAAGTAAATGACAGCTGAGTACCAACGAATTATCAGGCGTACTAGTGTCTGTGTGGAAAGTTGGAGGAGCATGCATAGGTATTGATAATCGAAACGAACTTTCAGATGCATAGGCACATACGACATAATCGTTCGAGTATACAGCGACGTTCTCCTGAAACTGGTATGACTCTTTAGAAAGTTAAACTCGAAACAAAAGATCTACACAAACCATTCCTTCCGTTTTGATCTCGCCACGCTCTCCTACCACATCTTCAGCGAGCTGTTCTACAGTTTCCAGTGCTCAACCACGTCATCCTTGGTGGTGACCGTAACTTTACCGTAGCAATGAAGTCAGAAACTTGGACAAAACTCTCAACAACAACGACAAAGTTTTGGACAAAAATTCAGGAATATCGAGGTTCAATTGAAACCGAGTTTCGGCAGTGATAAGCCGAAATTCGGTTTCGAATACATTCAACTTGCTATTTTCCAACAACATTTTTTTTTGCAAAAAGCTATGATGACAAGTCTAGCATGTGAGAATGGTGGTCAGGTGATGTAAAAGAGAGTCGAAAACACAAACTCCTAATTGAGCCTCTCATCGTACACCATCGTAAACACCCAATGACATTTTTAAAGCATAATGTTTCGACCAGCATGGTCAACACTCCCGATAGACTGAGCAACAGCGCCAAGAACTGGTCATATCTTGCCACTTTTTCGACAAAAAGACAGATTAACATACCGGTAGTCTCTGATGCCCTCGTCCAGCTTGTTTTTTTCCACGTTTAGCCGATCCGACAGAGGAACACCGCTTCCACCGAACATTATTCCACAAGAATTGCACTCTGGAAGGTGAACAATATGAAACAATCACAGAATGACAAATAACGAGCAAAACCGAGACAGTACAGAACATCTAAAAGAGGAAAGGTCCACGATTCAAGCAAGAAAAGAACACATGTTACGAAAATGGAGCACAGTGCTAAGTTCTGAGATGAAAACGCGCTCCAATGACAACGGCCATTTCGCAGTATTTAAGTTCTTCTCCGCCGTATCCGGACCAAACTTGGCACACATACACTTCGGGCCCCGGCGGGTGTCACAGTCCACTTTTCGTTATCGATCGATGTCGATTTTACCGATTTTTATCGATTTTTTGGCAGAGTTCACCTTCAGGGCTAGGAGTTGGCACAGGGGGAAGTGAGCATGGGGATTCCGAATACAATATTAGTTTTCAGAATTATCGATTGCTTTTATTGATTTTATCGATTTTTTGGCAGAGTTCACCTACAGGGCTAGGAGTTGGCACAGGGGGGAAGTGAGCATGGGGATTCCGAATACAATATTAGTTTTCAGGATCGTCCATTACTTTTATCGATTTTATCGATCTTTTTGCAAAGTTTGACTTGCGGGGCTGGGAGTTTGCACAGAGGGTAATCGAGCATGCAGATTACGAATACAATATTAGTTTTCAAGATCGTCCATTACTTTTATCGATTTTATCGATTTTTTGAAAATTTGAGCTAGGGGGCTGGAATTTGGCACAGGGGTGTTCGAGCATGCTGATCACCCCCCTTGGGGATGATCAGCATGCGCGATTACCCCCCTGTGCCAACTCCCAGCCCCCTAGCTCAAACTTTGCAAAAAAATCGATAAAATCGATAAAAGTAATCGATAATCCTGAAAACCAATATTGTATTCGGAATCCCCATGCTCGATTACCCCCCTGTGCCAACTCCCAGCCCCGTAGCTCAAACTTTGCAAAAAATCGATAAAATCGATAAAAGTAATCGATAATCCTGAAAACCAATATTGTATTCGGAATCCCCATGCTCGATTACCCCCCTGTGCCAACTCCCAGCCCCGTAGCTCAAACTTTGCAAAAAAATCGATAAAATCGATAAAAGTAATCGATAATCCTGAAAACCAATATTGTATTCGGAATCCCCATGCTCGATTACCCCCCTGTGCCAACTCCCAGCCCCGTAGGTGAACTCAGCAAAAAAATCGATAAAAATCGATAAAATCGATATCGATCGATGACGAAAAGTAGCCTATGACACCCGCCGGGGCCCGTAGTGTATGTGTGCCAAGTTTGGTCCGGATCGGTTCAGAAATGGAATTTTCTATTCGGAACATACGTACATACATACATACATACAGACAGACATACAGACAGACATACAGACAGACATACAAACAGACATTCAGCTTTATATATAAGATGGCTAAGGCCTAAGGCATACCTCCCGCGATCCCAGTCGCGTCAAGATTTTCAGCGGACATATGTTCCGAACCTGCAGCGCACGCGTCTCCAACTGTGTGGTCCCGCCGTGTCTGTGTTAGATGGACGCTGCGACGAATCGCGGGCCATTTTTATACGGGGATACTCTCAGCAGTGATATCGTTGCGACTTCGCCGAAAGCCAGCGATGTCGCCGTCGCTAGGACTGCACCAGCGATGGGCGAGCCGCTCGAATGGTTTCTTTTTTTTTTGAAAAGTTTTGCACTTTTTTGCAAATGCGAATTTCATTTAGAACTGTTCCATCTTATACAAACACTTCCTCTCTGCATAAGAAAAGGATGGTCATCGAACATTCTATACTATCAGTCATTGAAAACAAGACATGCGAAGTACATAGTATGGAATGTTTCCCATATGTCACCTCAATTTGTGTTACCATTTGATGTTCTCGCAATGCACTAATCTTCCCCTGCTCCTGTTTATCAATAAAAAGTAAATGGTGACCGAATTTAGAATGTTCTTGCTATAATTTCTGAAGCAATAGGTATGCAATCTCGGTTCCTCAAGTATACAGTCGCTTCATTTCATATGATCATGTGTGTCATTGCACACACAGTTCACCTTTGGCGTCCCCATCCTGGATTCATGGGAGAAACAAGCCTTCAGGTAAGTGTTTCCAAGGTGTTCTTAGCATTTTCTTTCCTTTTTAATTACTAGTCACCTCAAATTGATGTAATCGATAACAATCGGTAAGTCTCTTGCGTTTTTGCATTACAAATCCAGGATGAGGACGCCAAAGTGGACTGTGTGTGCAATGGCACACATGATCATATGAAATGAAGCGTTTGTATGTATACAGTCGAGTAGATTTCCTGCTTAATATAGTGTCCCTGCAGACGCCACAACGCTGGGGCGTCAATAATTGCCTGACGAGTTCCCGAGCTAGTGTTTTCCAGTGTTTTCTTTGCTTATTCTACGTTTTTTAGGTGATTCGTTGCTGATAAAGAAGAAAAGGGTAAGTTAAAGAGTAGATTCTGTTTTCTGAGAAGTTCTATCATCGCATATTCACAGATATTCACGTGGAAGCAGCTCGCGTCAGCTTCTTGTCTATTTTTTTGTCACTTCATGCCTCTTTCTTCTTGTGAGGTACTTCTTTGAAACCTAGCGGGTTTTTACGATTGACTAATTGTCTTTATCACATCAAATACTTGATTAAAATGCTATTTCTCATGGATGAAATCCGAAGTTGCTGCAAGACAAGCCAACTAGCGTTCAAAGAAACGCCTCACAAGAAGGAGGAAGTTTGGAAGAAGAAGTGACAAAAGAAAAGGGAATGACAAAAAATAGACAAGAAGCTGACAAATGCTTCCACGTGGATATCTGTGAATATGCAATGATAGAACTTCTCAGAAAACAGAAACTACTCTTCAACTTACCCTTTTCCTCTTTATCAGCAACGAACCAACTAAAAAGCATGAAATTGATTGATTGATTGAAATAAGCAAAGAAAACACTGGAAAACACTGGCTCGGGAACTCGCAAGGCATTTATTGACGCCCCAGCGTTGTCGCGTCTGCAGGGACACTATATTAAGCAGAAAATCTACTCGACTGTATGTGTAATCGCTTGCTGAATGGCAAACAAGAGCTGGCGCAGCACTCGTTCTTGAAATATGCCTACCCAGAGTTTTTTGCAGAGCAAAACATGGCCTTACTGTAACGAAGTAACGTATATGCCTACCAATGTTTGAAAGAGTAAACACTAGCCGATTTCATTACAGATGCCAACTTGCGCCGGTAGAAAAACGTTGGTAAATACTAGGATGAGTGTGAATCCAAATCCTTCCTCGTTTGATGTAATGTTCTAAAGCATATAACGCTACAATCTGTTAGGACTTCCTTGAATAAATGCACTTCAGACAATTTAGCGCAAAAGTTTCAAAAATGCGTATAATGCGGTGTGGTGTGTGAGCGTCCACGAAATCGCTTTGGGCATGTCCGGTAATCAAGCGATGAGCGACTTTCACGCAATGAACGGTCTCCCAGGCAGTCTAGTCGCAACGGTCGAAAATCGTAACGACGGGATCGCTGTAGGTATGCCTTACAAGGGAATGTCAGAAATCGAAGTGGCCATTCCAGACAAGCTGCATACCGTTAGATGCAACATGAAGCGCTGACTCTAAATCTGTCTTCCTTACCTGCTTATCACTTTTCTGGACGAAGCTATAAGCCATTGAAGACCATTATTTTGTTAAGAAATTATGCGTGAAATTGAAAATTTAGCCGTACAGAGCCACCTTCCTCAATGCTGGGCCAAAACATGCCGCTAGCTTACTTGGAATTTTTGAAGCCAGAAGCTGAGCTAAGAGCGCAACAATGTGCTCAATTTCGCTGTTTTTATAAATGACTTTTTCACAATAAAACCGCTTGTAGCTTCGTCCACAAAAGCGGAAAGCAGATAAGGGAGACAGATTCGAAGTCAGCATTTCATACTGCATCGAATGGTATACAGCTTGTTTGGTTTGGCCACTTCGACTTCTGACCATTCCCTTGTTAGGCCTAAGCCGAATATTTTTCCGACTGAAGGATTCGTTAACCCTAAGGCCTAAAGCATACCTCGCGCAATTTCGTCAAATCGCTACATCCACACGACTTGGCAGTTTGCTGAAAGAGAGAAAAAAAAAGAGACTCGGCTCCGACTATCGCACCTCTGCTCTCAGCTTTAAAATCAAAGTGTTCTCAATCGGCGTGACTCAATGAGTTTACGCTTGCTTGATATAACTGTCATCTTACGTCTTCCGTAGCGACTCACATTGTGCAACATTCTTCTGTAATAAATGTCTTGAAACTATAAACATTATACCTGGAAAATTCTACATTTTATGCATTTCTTGCTCATTATCGTTTCGCTTTGCAGATTCTGATGCTGTCTCTGCTTTTATAACCGAGTTACCACATGGCGATACTTGATAGGTGAGCCTTCACGGTCACGGGTCTATCCTTTGTCTCGAAGGCTATGCCGCCAGCTCTAGTCCTCGGGACCCTGCGGCCGCCTCGCTCAAGCCCTTGCGCGGCCATCGCGGATGTGGCTTGAGGACAATGTCCAGGTCAGGGGAGGGGGTGATGGGATTTTGACGCAGTGCGGGAGCAGGCTGCTGACTGATGCTACAGTTCAAGTCTTTTCTGCAGTTTTTGCTTAGAAAAATTTTTATGTTCGATCAAAAAGAATAGGAGTCATAGAGCTGAAACAAATTTGGCGGTCGTAATGTCTGGGGTGGGGCGAGTGTTACTGAACCTCTTTGTTCGGAACACACGGAGTGCCCCTATTGATGTATAGTTTTTTTTTTGCAGTTTTAGCTAGGAAAATTTTTTATGTTTGATCAAAAACAATAGAAGGAGTCACGGAATCTTAATCAAGTCCGGCAGACATAATGTAAGGAGTGGGACATATGTTAAGCATACAAAACATAATGATTGACCCTGTCAACTTGATTTTTGCAGTTTGCGTAGTATCGCTGCTTAGGATGTTGAACCAAAATAAACTGTCAAAACCGAATTACCGAAATTAGTGTAATCCGCGCAAAATTTCTTGCAAATTTTACTTTTGCCATTTGGGCTTTTCAGGTTTCAAGGCTAAATCCAATGTGCCAAAAGCTGGGGTAACGCAAAAGTGCAATTTTTTTGAGAGTTCCGCAGCACTGATTTGCGAAAGTGCCGCAAACCGAGTGAAGAAGTGCCGGAGAAGGGACGCCAAAGCTTTCATCAATTCCGTGCTGAGCCCCAGGCCCTAATGTCTAAAGTTTTTAGGCCGCATGCACTAACCTCCTCGCGTGGAGGGGATCGCAGCTCAAAAGAAAGCTTTATATTTCGAAACTCCAGATACCTGGATTTCACGCTGTGTACCTATCCGTGAGTATTCCTACTACCCTTCACTATGAACATGTTGAAGAAGAGCGAGAAGATGTACGAACCGCTTTTTCCAGCTTTTGTATGATCCCTGATGATCCCCGGCGCTTTTCTTTAAAGTCATTTTTCTTTTTCCGAAGTTAACGAAAAACCTCCAAAGTTGTGCAGAGTATCCAACCCACAGTGCTAAGTATGTTCGTGATAAGAACAAATGATGTTTTGAAGTCATGAAATTTTCGATGATCCACAGGTCGAAATTTGAGGTTTACCGAAAAATTCGACTTTTTAAAAACTTATTTGTTCTCATCAGCAACATGCTTAGCACTGTTGTGTTAGATGTTCAGTACAACTTTGGAAGGTTTTCGTTAACTTCGGAGAAAGAAAAATGACTTTAAAGAAAAGCGCCGGGGATCATCAGGGATCATACAAAAGCTGGAGAATGCGGTTCGTGCAGCTTCTCGCTCCTCTTCAACATGTTCATAGTGAAGGGTAGTAGGAATACTTACGGATAGGTACACAACGTGAAATCCAGGTATCTGGAGTTTCGAAATATAAAGCTTTCTTTTAAGCTGCGATCCCCTCCTCAGCGGGGAGGTTAGTGCATGCGGCCCTTTCAGTTTTTTCGAATGCTAAGCTTCTTGAGAATAACTGAGTGTACCACGAAAGCGCTGGATCGCACCATGTCAACGCAAATCAAGCTGCCTCACCACGCTATTGAAAAAACGCCGGGATTATCGAGTTAGCAGTTCCAGCGCATCGGGGATTGACCCTTTTCCGCTTATGGAATTTTTCTTCTTCCCACGTTTAGGTCGATAACCATTTGCCTTCCTTAGACCTATTTTTCTTTCTCATGTTGTTACTCCCGGTTCATTACCTCAGATCCTGTTCTACAATTCAATTTTAGCAAATTCGTTGATCTTGTTGCTAAAAATTAGGTATTTTCCAATGCCATACATTTATCATTGTGAAAATAGTTTTATTCGTTTGACAATTAAATTTCATTTACCCAAGTTTGAGGTTCATGCCAACTGTCGAGGGCAATATCAAGCCAATGAGTACCATGCAGAGTTTCTGGTATAGAGATCAACTGTTATTTATGAATGTAACTATCAATAAGTGATACAGCTCACAGAAGACACAACATGCTTAAACAGATGAGGAGCGCTGAATCAAGGACACATGACGCACTTCCTAGCTTTTTGCAGAAGAAATTTGTGTTAAATTCTTTTTGCTGGGATAAACGAGACCTGCGAGGCATCAACACCAGTTATAAGTTAAAAGGCTTCTCCGACAAGGCAAGGACCACAAATGCGTGATAAACCACAAATGCGTATTAAGGGCAAATGAGGTGATTCTTACCCATTACCACTAATGAGCACACGTAATAAAACTCCGAAAACTGATATGATACAACAATGACAAAAAATCTGAGGAGTAAGTAATTCATCAACCGCAGAGATAGGCCGACACTGCACTTCAGCACGCCTCGCGCGGCTGAAACGCTACCCATATTGCAAGGTCGATATTTTCCCAGTCTCTCACTAAACTTTTGTTAAGTGTTTCTACAAACACTATTTCATTAGGTGGGTCCAAAAGTTCGTTCGCCGGATTTTCAAAAAATCATAACTTCCTTCATTCTCGGTGGAAATTCTTGATTTGATTTTTGTTTAAAAAAGGAAACCTTTCTCTTTACAGCAGTGTCTCTGCCATGAAATGGCGTAAGAAAGTTCGAGACTTACAAGCAATTGAATAAAATTAGTCAAGGTCGGCATTTTTTAAGCTGGATTACGAAAAATTCCGGAAGTATTACTATATGATTTAGAAAGTTATGCTCTTTACTATAATGCCTTTCCCGCGAATTAAAACGAAAAAGATCGAGAGTTATAAGCAATTAAAGAGCATTACATCAGTTTTCCAATTTTTGAGCATGCCCTAAAAAGCCCAAAAACGTCACAAAAAAGGCGGAAAAGCCAAGAACATGGGTTTTGAGACCTTCTCTTTCTAGTTGAGTGAAAATCGGACCAATCGAGAGCAATTTTGATTTCCGTGAGAAACGCAGACTGAACATCCGGAGATATTATGAAAATCAAAGTTGCTCCCGATTAGTCCGATTTTCGCTCGGCTAAAAAGAAAAAGTCACGGAATCTATATTCTTGGCTTTCCCGCCTTTCTTGTGACGTTTTTGGGCTTTTTGGAATTTTTCGTAATCCAGCTTAAAAAATGCCGATCTTGAGTAATTTCATACAATTGCTTCTAACTCTCAAACTTTCGCAAGCCACTTCATGGCAAAGACACTCTTGTAAAGAAAAAGGTTCCCTCTTTCGAACAAAAATTGATTCAAGAAATTCACCGAGAAGGAAGGAAGTTATGATTTTTTGAAAATCTGGCGAACGAATTTTTGGACCCACCTAATATATGTTTCTTGTTGAAGATGTTTTTTTACAGAAAACATTTAAATTTTTTCTTTCTTCTGTCATGCCATAGACTGTGATCTCCAGCAAATCTTGTGCAATTTTGGTACCTATCTTGCGGCTGATGAACCACCTATGGTTACATGGTCGCGTTGAATGCAGTAAGCTGTTGACATTTCTGACTTTCAATCTGTCGTTGCTTCGCCCTTGCCACATGCCCCCACTCAACACACATCTTTTTCCGCTCAACTCCATCTTCTAATCGAGTTGTGTGTTTTACGTATCCAACGTCTTCTAGACCAAGGCAGCACACCTGAATAGAATGCAGTTAACGGACCGGGAATCCTTCCACCGCTCTCTTTACAGCATCCTTCTCTACCATCACTTTCAAAAGAAATGTGAGGATTTTTGTTAATGGAAGCTGTCAGTGGTAAATTTTGGCTTCTTCATTTTCATTAAGACTAGTAGTAGTTGAAGTGCTAGATTGCATCCGCGCGCTTCGGAACCGCACCGCGATTCCCCGCTAATTGCAGAGTTTTGAATTGCGCTTACGTTTCTTTATACATTAGAATTAGATATCATGGGTACCGAGTACCGCGCGAACTGGCCGTTATTGCGGGACACGCGTCGCGCGATAAAACTCTTGCCTCTGCCCTTGGGCAACTCGTTCTCGCAATATTAGCAGCGAGCGGCAACGCAGACACGGCCAGTCGGTATGGTTGATGAATTAGCTATACTAGTGTAAAACAAATATGTTAGTCAGATTATGTTACGCCATCTGTGGAGTCAATTGATAATGATAAAAGAAAGCTATGTTAAACGTTAATAACGATAATAACGTTTTTGGCACTATCAAAAATTCTCGATCCCGAAAAATGCGCGCAAATGTAAATACTCAAAAAAATGTGTGAAAACGTAGAAACAGGACGAACCATGATATTGGCAAACTTGATTTTCAATGAACCATCTGGACACCGCCGTGCCTGCAAATATCAATTAAAGATTAAGCAGAGGATGTATTCAAATATCACTCACACTAAAATCTGGCTCGATCCACTCCGGCTCCACATTAGAATGATTGTAGACATGTCGATCAGGAGGATTACCTCTGTATGAAGATCGCTCACCAAATCGTAGCAAACTGCGACTGTCACCCTCCATTAGGATACAGTAACCCGTGCAGTCAAATCTGAATGTTTTATTAGTTGAATATGCATTAGAAATATCAAAACGTACATCTCAACGAATCTGAGCCCATTCTCATCCAACATAGTTTCACACCTTTGACTTGTTGCCGCATCAAACCGAGAAATTTCTCCAGATAAGCGATATATTTCAATCTGATAAAAAAGTGATTGCAAAAGTACGCAAGACCACAAAGGCCCAACCTGTCCGTCGTTGAAATATCGAATATTTCGACCATTTGCTAGTGATATGATCGTTACTCCAGCGATACCATAGTAATAGATCTGTAAATGAATTATAACCCTCGTTTTCTCAGGACAAAAAAGGAGAAACCCTTGCCTCAATACTGCGATCACAACTGATCCATCGCACATCTGTGTTACTGTATTCATGAAGATCACAACCGCATTCCGTAGTTGTCACCTTTGTCCAATCTCCTAAAATTCAATTGTAGAACATTCGACTTGGACCGCATCTCGAAGACCACCAAGGAACTGCTCGAAAGAAGAAGATCATTGAGGCAGGATCCGAATGCAACTCATCTCGAGCGACTGATAGCCAACGCCAGTTGCAGAACAGCTTTGCAAGAGGATCTCAGGAAGTACAGGCAAGCCAAGATACTGGAAGCAGCCGAAAGAAGACGAAGTCTCAAGAAGTGCCGAAGGGACCTCTGCGAATATCACGTACCGCTGGCTGCACTACTGAACGAAGACGGGACTCCGACTTCTACAAGATGGAATCTATCGCGAAGAACTTCTACACCAACCTCTTCCGCTCATCAACACCCGTGCAGATGCCCGTTGTTCCCACTGGAGAAGTACCACCACGAGTTCTACCTGCTGAAGTGCGTATCGCGATGAACATGACCATGAAGACGTCCACGGCTCCAGGACCAGATCATCTTTCCGTCGAACTTCTGCGAGCCGGAGGACACCGTCTACACAAGATTCTAGCGTCGCATTTGACATCTTACCTTCAGAAGAAGATTCCCGACCAGTGGAGAACGTCAAGAACCGTCCTTCTTTTCAAGAAGGGTGAACGGGAAGATCTTCGGAACTATCGTCTAATATGCTTGCTGAGTGTGCTGTACAAGCTTTTTCACGAAGATTATCCTCGCTCGCATATCAAGGACACTGGATGAAGCCCAACCCCAAGAACAAGCTGGATTTCGCAAAGGATTCAGCTGCATGGACCACATCCAGACCGTTTCGAGGGTCATAGAAGTCTGCCGGGAGTACCGACTGCCTCTCGTCCTAACCTTTGTCGACTACGAGAAAGCCTTTGACAGCGTCGAAACCAACGCCATCCTGTCTGCGCTAGTCGATCAAGGAGTGGACCCAGCTTACGTGAGGACGTTAGCCGACTGCTACAAGGACTGTACAACGACGATGTAGCTATTCCATTGCCCCCTGACCATACCAATCGGGAAGGGGGTCCGACAAGGCGACACAATCTCGCCGAAGCTGTTCACCGCGGCCCTGCAGTGGTTGATGAAGTCACTGGACTGGGACGAGAGAGGCATACGAGTTGATGGGAGATTCCTGTCCAACCTTCGTTTTGCGGACGACATCGTTCTCTTCTCGAGCAGTATCACCGAAGCAGAGACGATGCTGAGGGAACTAAACGAAGTAGGGAAGAAGATCGGACTGCGAATAAATCAGAAGAAGACTCAGTTCATGAAGAACGCCCTTTGCGAAGATGCAGAAATGGAATTGGAAGGCGCCCCGATTATGGAGACGTCTTCCTACGTGTATCTCGGACGTTCGATGAACATGGAGAACGACTTGAAGGAAGAACTTAACAGGAGAAGAAGAGCAGCCTGGGCCGCCTTCGGGCCTCTGAAGGAAGCCACCGACCAACTGACGGACCCGGATCTTCGTGCCCACCTGTTCGACTCAACCGTTCTCCCGGCGCTCTGTTACGCAGCTGAGACTTGGGCCGACACTGTAGCCACGTCGAAAGCTTTACGGACCACCCACAGAGCGCTCGAGCGCGGTCTTCTGAAGATGACCCGACGCAAGCAACATCTAGTCGGACTTCACAGCACGGATATGAGAAGAATGCCCCGTCTTCGTGACCCAGCGGAATACGTCGCGAAAGCCAAACACCGATGGGCCGGTCACATAATGAGAAGAACAGACGACAGATGGACACTAAGAACATCGGAATGGATTCCTCGCGAAGCCAAACGTCCTCGAGGAAGACCACCGACGAGATGGGCAGACGTGTTCGTGGAACGGATGGACCAACTGAGAAATCAGCTGGATACGACTTTCGCCCCTGGAACTCGTGGACGCAGCCACCGACGACGGCCAAGAAAATCGTGGATGTCTGAAGCGAGGGACAGGGAAAACTGGCGACTTCTGTATTGGGGCCCGCACGTCACGTGAGGACGGGCCATCTAAGTATCTAAGTAAGTAAGAACATTCGACTCAGTCCAAAATCTAATAAACAAAAACTAGTGAGTTGTTAGAGAAATAAATCCATATCAAACTTTACCTAAGCCATTTTTGAATAAGCGGCAAGGACCAAACAAAGCAGTGCCTTCCTCCACAAGCTCCTAAGCATCAAATTTGATTTTCTCATGATTATAGTGAGAGCACCATTTACCATTTCATAGGTACCTTTCCTAGTGGTGGCTCTTGTTCTTTGGGCAAAATCTTCTATTGGTTTATCAGCCCAGCTGACACATTTTGACCGATCAGGTAAAGCTCTTTGAGGTCCAGCGTCTATCTCAACATCTTCAGTGGCGCTTCGTTCCTGCATAGATCACGTTGAAGCGAAACAGTAACACCGATATCAATTAGATAATTCTCTTTAAGCATTCAAAACCAATAAAAAAGTATGCCACACCTTTCGTGCATCCTTTCTCAAGGATGGTAATAGCCCGATAGATCCTGTGCGTCTCACGTTACGAGTGCGGGAAGCCTGTATCTCGGCAGCCAGCTCTTGTGATTGCTTTGCATAATTGCCTCGTAACTGTGCCATTTGGCGCTAAAAGGATAAAAAAACTAGAAAAAGTAAGTAATAGTGAGCAGTTAGCCTACCTGAAGAATTTTGCAGGTTTTCTCCAAACGCACCGTCTTCTGATTGCTTTCTTTCAGCTCTTTATATTTCGCTTCTACTTGCTCCTCTGCCTTTCTTAAGCGTACACGTAAGGTAGAAAGCTGGCGATCCTTTTGAGCAATGGTTTTCGTCAAGTCCTCGACCTATGATAGAGGAACTGTCAAAGATTGTCACATAGTCACTCGGAATTATTGATTTATGAAGACAAACCTGCTCAGCAATCGCCTTTTCCTTCTCAGCACCATCTTTAGAGGCGATTTTTCGCTCCCTTTCCAACTGCCGTCGTATGCGCTGAACTCTCTCCTTTTCAGCTTCTTTTTCTGCTTCAAAATCCCGCACATCCTGTTGGAATCGTAGATATGCATCTTCAAGCTAAATTGAATGTGTACTTACTTTCAGATTTCGCATGACAAAGGGACGGTAAAATAGACCTCTTTAGCCCTGATTTGCTGCTTAATGTCAGCAAGATCAAGATGAGCAATCACATCTCGAAGCTGCCCTATTAACTTTCTCTCTACGTCTTTATATCTCGAACCATTGCTTCTAAGTCCTCGAGAAATTCCACTCGGAACGTAAGGGGTCTGCTCAGTTTGCTGAATCAAGCCACTGCCAGAATTTTGTTCAGAGAGTAGAAGCATTTACAGCGTGATTTCTAATCGCAAACCTGAGGCTGAACATTGCTGGATTCAATCACATCCGGATGTCTACCAATGTGCGGTATTTGCTTACCTCTTAGGGACTTCTAAAAATAGCTTTCAACTTTCGAGTGCACGATGAAGCTCAGTACTTTGAACTTACGGCAGGTTGTCGGACCGCTGCATCACTTCTTCTTATTTCGGCGGAACGGTCATCTAAAACGATGATTAACATCACGGAAAAATAATAATAATACGATAGATATAGTAGTCATGCTGTAGCTGTACTGTTGCACTTCACATCAAAAAAAAAATTCTAGCTACAAAACAAACAGATGATATGATTACTAATAAAGTTGAGGTGAGATAGAAAAAAGGAGAGTGAAGAGATTTTAACGCATTGGAAGTTTACGGCGGAAATTGCATGATATAAAACAGGTTTTTGAATCAAAAATTACTGAACAAATCTTGAGATCAAAACATTACATGGTCAGATAAATGCCGTAAATGCCGTATCTCACCATTGTAGTTTTCTTCCGTACCTTGCGGAGAATCGTCGGTCCTTTGCAACATCTAAATGTTAGTAGCTCGGCAGGCATAATAATTATATGTACGCCCTTCCAAGATTCCCCCCCCCCTTTTTTTGGATCAGAGTAGTCACGTTATAAATTGACGCGATATCCGTCCATCGTTATGTAAACAACTATTGGAATGTAGTTAAATGAAGCCAAGCAATTTGCAGAATTCTCTACCAATACACAGATGGATCCCATGCAGAGATTGAGTATATGAACAAGGACATACATTTGTAGTGTCACCAAGTATAGATGTTTCCAGAGCAAGTGGTAATCCTTGAGGCGATTCAGGGATTTGATCAGGGTGTGGAGTGCTGGCAAGCATGGGAGAAGGTTCGATAACTTGATCGGGAAAGGAATAATCCTAAAATAATCTTCTTTACAGCAAAAACTCATAAAGACTGTGATATTCTGACCTGACCACGAACTAGCTGCTGAACTCGACGTACATCTTCTTTACGCAGATTCACATTCCGACTGTTAATGGAAGATGAGTGAGGAGAGCTACTGTCGTCCGGCGACGAAGTAGATAAGCGCTCTGAAATGCCATACCAGTAGTAACAGATTGCAGACGTAAATGGTGATAGCTCTGAAAAGGGGAAAACAAAACAATGTTCAAACAAAACGACACTGAGCTTCAAAACTAGTTCTGACTTTGCAAGAACCGATTGTAACTGAATATTATAAACCTGATGTAGATAATAAAAGAAAATAAGAGAATGAGCTGTAATATACCATTTTGTAGGTGCCCAACTTGATCAAATCCGCTGTCAACCGTTCTGCGTGCGGAGGGGCTCTGTACAAGAAAAATGTCTTTTAGAAATGTACATCTTATATATAAAGCTGAATGTCTGTTTGTATGTCTGTCTGTATGTCTGTCTGTATGTCTGTCTGTATGTATGTATGTATGTACGTATGTTCCGAATAGAAAATTCCATTTCTGAACCGATCCGGACCAAACTTGGCACACATACACTACGGGCCCCGGCGGGTGTCATAGGCTACTTTTCGTCATCGATCGATATCGATTTTATCGATTTTTATCGATTTTTTTGCTGAGTTCACCTACGGGGCTGGGAGTTTGCACAAGGGGGTAATCGAGCATGGGGATTCCGAATACAATATTGGTTTTCAGGATTATCGATTACTTTTATCGATTTTATCGATTTTTTTGCAAAGTTTGAGCTACGGGGCTGGGAGTTGGCACAGGGGGGTAATCGAGCATGGGGATTCCGAATACAATATTGGTTTTCGGGATTATCGATTACTTTTATCGATTTTATCGATTTTTTTGCAAAGTTTGAGCTAGGGGGCTGGGAGTTGGCACAGGGGGGTAATCGAGCATGGGGATTCCGAATACAACATTGGTTTTCAGGATTATCGATTACTTTTATCGATTTTATCGATTTTTTTGCAAAGTTTGAGCTACGGGGCTGGGAGTTGGCACAGGGGGGTAATCGAGCATGGGGATTCCGAATACAATATTGGTTTTCGGGATTATCGATTACTTTTATCGATTTTATCGATTTTTTTGCAAAGTTTGAGCTAGGGGGCTGGGAGTTGGCACAGGGGGGTAATCGAGCATGCTGATCATCCCCAAGGGGGGTGATCAGCATGCTCGATTACGCCCCTGTGCCAAATTCCAGCCCCCTAGCTCAAATTTTCAAAAAATCGATAAAATCGATAAAAGTAATGGACGATCCTGAAAACTAATATTGTGTTCGTAATCAGCATGCTCGATTACCCCCCTGTGCAAAATCCCAGCCCCGTAGCTCAAACTTTACAAAAAAAATCGGTAAAATCGATAAAAGTAATGGACGATCCTGAAAACTAATATTGTGTTCGTAATCAGCATGCTCGATTACCCCCCCGTGCAAGATCCCAGCCCCGTAGCTCAAACTTTACAAAAAAAAATCGGTAAAATCGATAAAAGTAATGGACGATCCTGAAAACTAATATTGTGTTCGTAATCAGCATGCTCGATTACCCCCCTGTGCAAAATCCCAGCCTCGCATGTCAAACTTTGCAAAAAAATCGATAAAATCAATAAAAGTAATCGATGATTCTGAAAACTAATATTGTATTCGGAATCCCCATGCTCACTTCCCCCCTGTGCCAACTCCTAGCCCTGTAGGTGAACTCTGCAAAAAAATCGATAAAAATCGGTAAAATCGACATCGATCGATAACGAAAAGTGGACTGTGACACCCGCCGGGGCCCGAAGTGTATGTGTGCCAAGTTTGGTCCGGATACGGCGGAGCCGGGTAAGCCAGCTAGTATATGCTAATACCTGCATAGCTAAGTCTGTACGAGGATCAATATCATCCCAATGAGTGTTTCTGTGATGTTCCGAATAGTAGTCTTGCCGATCTTCTGATGATGCTCTGTCATCTAAAATGTCAAGTTCTATATAAAGCAACATTTTGCTCCAGACTCTTGAAAAAATACAAACTGCTGTGAGATTGAAAATGATGTCTTTTTTGGATGAAAAAACAAAGAGCTGTTGTGATAAAAAGCAAAGAAGATAACAAAATCCTACGTAATCGGAAGACTGTCTGTGTTTCCGCTGATAATTAAGTAAGAAGACAGAGAGCAAATTGCCTAAGGAGAAGCAAAAACGGAGCAAATAAGAGGGATTCATTGCAGAAAAGCAAAAGAAAGCGAAAACCCCTATTTCAAAAACTAACTGAGCAAAAAAGCAAACTTCCTCCACCTCTGGCTGAAGGATCAACCACTATGAGTACTCGTACTACGAAAAAAGTGAGCCGTGACAATGACCAAATTTGAAAAAAAAATAACAGGAGAACAGAAACTTACCGTTTGTAGCAGCCGACGGTCGTCCCCTGCTCAAAACCGGATAGTTGATCTTAAATGAGAATGATCAGTGAAGCAAAAGCATTGAAAACATAAAAAAACAAAACAAGCCAAAAATCTTCACACCTTTGCTTTCAACCCTTGACCTTTGCGTAAGAATGGAAAACTACGACCAGGAGGTGGACGTCGATGTTCCTCAGACATGAGAACGCCCAACGGGTGGCAAATCTATCCTTTCTCGTCTGCTAAGAGCATATCTTAGAACCATCAAGAATGTTTTGCAAAGTCGAGACGTATCAGACATGTAAAGTGACACAACAACATGAAGAAGAAAAAACAGCCACAAGTAAACTTTATTTCTAGAATAGAAAAGTAACAACAATAACGTAAATATCTTTCAAACAAATAAGTAACAGGATAAGACTACTAGGTAACCTTCCGCTGTATTTTTTCAAGTAATACCTCCATCTGTGCACCCAAATTTGGCTGTCCTTTTTTGTTACGCTTGCGCAACACCTTATTCGTCTTCTTCTTAGCTTTCTCATATTTTTCCAAAGCTGCTTGTCTCTGTTCTCTTTCCTGTTGCCGTTCCAATCTTTCCTTTCGTTTGTCCTCTTGTATCTGCTCGTATACCCTCTTCGCTCGTTCATAAGCACTCACTTTGTCTTTTCGTTTCATCCTAAAAATAAACATTACGTACATTGTGCTAGAAGTGATTACACTAAAAGAAATAAAGATGTCAGCTCAACTGCGTTCATGAGATGGTTTAGATGTTACTTCAGCGCCACTGCTATTTTCACCAGCCTTCAGTCTTCGTTTACTTGTGGATTGCTCCATATCAGTACAAGAATATTGCTTCAACGTACATACTTTCATGAAAATAACGCAAGAACGTTTCAAGCAAAGCAAAATTCACATCGCAATGTGCTAGAGTGGATAGTTAATTATGCAACCAGAAGAATACCTTCGAGCAATGTTCAAGCCTGATTCAGCAGTCTCCAGCTGCTTTATTCACGCGCCATAATTGATCCACAGATCCGTTGATCCATTCAATCCATTTCACTAACAGATCGACTAATGAACTGACCAGTAGCGAAGTGGTCGCTTGATCCACTTGATCCACTCATCCAGTTAGGGTGTCAGTTCACTAGTTTGACCGATAGTGAAGTGGATCAATCGGATCGAGTATCAACTATGGCGTGTGCCTGAAACTAACCGAGCGAAGTCTAAATGAGCTGCTATAAGAATCTCAACAAGTGATTCCTCGCCAAAAAATAGCAGTGCCAAACTTCTTAACAGTGCCGTACCTTTCCAAACGAAATCAGCGTCTTCGATCACGGTACTCAACAAAAAAGTAGTCTTAAGGTTTTTGCCACAGATTAGCCACAGCTCCACTTATATAAAAGCTACTAAAGTCGATATAAAAAGTAGCTACGAAAGTCTCGGGTGTCGGTCAGAGGTTTCACGACAGAAACTGTTTACAGTCGTAATATTAGATCCATTTCCAAGCACCAGGCTATGGTATAAAAAGAGAAAAAGCTTCAAGAAACAAAAACAAATTTTGAAATTGCTTTTGGCTCGTTTCCAAAGAATTTGAACTGTCCGCTAAATTAAAGGACGCATGCAATTTCCGAATTGAGCATGTAAACCGCGCACAGGAAACGGCGCACACGGGAGAAATCTTTTTCACTGTTTCGTTCCACATGAGGATTTGTCTGTCTCTACAATATCTGTATTAGTGAGGTTATCCTCATTCTCGTAGTCTATATCACAAATTCAAGTTCCAACACGTTTCAACAGTTGTTGTAACGTGTTGGGACGTGTGCACGCTTCATTATGTGAATCATCAAAACCGGTCATCTTATAATGTCATTTAGTGCTGTTCGCTTTGTACAACTAATCCTACTGTTTCCAATCAAGGAATGTCCAGTGATGAAATGCTTATCCCTTCTTAATGCTTTATGGCATGAGTGACAGAATCTAACGTCTTGCGCTTTCGGGAACTTCGAAAAATGGCAGTTTTGTTCAAGCTGTTCTTACATGATTTTTCCATCTCAAGCAACCAGCAGGAGTTTTTATCCAACTTATTGAAATCTGAGGTAGCAGTGCCTTTGATTACCTAGAAGCTGGTCCAATCTGCTCATCAGATACCTCATAGTAGATAATCATTTTCTAACCAAATCATCGTCTTTGATGAAATGAGTCCTTACAATTTTTAGCAAAAAGTCGACACAAACATCTGCAGTCAGCTTTTTTCGAGGTCCAGGAAGATGGACATCTATTTGGTATCGGCAGCCGTCTACACAAAGCTGTGCCCAATGCTTCTAAAAGGATTGGAAAATGCTGTTTGCAGAGAATCCAGATCACTTCATGTGTATCACTCCCGGGCAACATCTTCAAAAAAAAAGATAAAGAAAAAACGCTTGCCAAATATGTTGTTAGTTTTACCTGTGCTAGAGTGTTTAGTGCTTCGAAAATTAGCTAGTAAAGAATCTGCTTGAGTTTTAGTGGAACCCATGATATCGGGCAGTCATTTGAACGTACACTTTCGGATTGTGGCATCTCTCAAATGATCAGACATTCTCAGCGCTCTCTCTCTCTCTCTCTCTCTCTCTCTCTCTCTCTGCCGTCTCTTCTATTCATGGAATTTATGGAATAAATGAAACGACAATTACGGGCACCCAATCATTTGAAATTTTGAATTTTCTCTTCTGTCCGTTTTGAAGCTTTGAATTCGAAGAAGCTTTATATGACCATCTTTGCTATGCCATAATTATTAGTTCAAAACCATTTCAATTATTGTTCACTAGTTCTTCTCAAAGCATCAAAACGGACAGAAGAGAGTAAAAATTTGAAATGATTGGGTACCCGTACTTGTCGTTTGTTGATGATTTTGGCTGCTATAGTGTAAGTCATCGCCACATTCTGTATGCAAGCTCGCTTCTGTGTCATTGCTCATTATGATGCAAGTCATCTTATACCTCGGAACATTCTTTTTAAGCCTGTTTTTTTCCTGCTTCGTCATTCGGAGACATTAAATCATTATGAAGCAACTTGCAAGAGCAGGACTAGTACAGTCAATAGATTTTCCACTCGATATCGCGTACTTGCGGTGCTAAGATTGGTCGACTAGATTTGCACGTAAAAAATAGCTACGCCCGTAATGCCGACTTCTTACGCGTTCTAAATGCTGGCATTATGCATGGCTATTAGTCCACGCGCAAATTTCGTCATTTAATCACCGAGTATGTACATTGTATTGAGAGAAAAATCTACCTGACAGTAGTTGCTTTCGTCTGAAAATGGCACGTCAGTCTTTATCTTGAAAAATCTAAATAATCAGGTTTTGTTGGTTGGTCGGTGAAAGAGGCTGATTTATGCAAACTCTAAGATTACTCTTTTTTGTAGCCCCAAGTACACCAACTAAGAAAATAAAATAGCCAGGCGGAGGTCTTATCGCTATTTTTTTTCTAAATCCCCAGATAATTAGGAAACTCAATTCTCATCTCGTACCTTTGCATGGAAAAGCATGACATTTTTCTTTTCTCTCATCCGCCCGGTTTTCATAGCTGCCTGCATTGCCACATCATCGTGGACACTGGTCTAAACTGGACTCCAATTGCCGACATAAGTGGTGTAAGAGAGGGTGCCGATACAAAAAACTGGGATGAAACTCACTAGAAAGTGCAAACGTTTCTGTTTTGCGTGTGTCAATACTTTGCCTAATACCCTTAGTCCGTTTTTCGACTTTTTTCGTTTGAGAAATCGATGATGTGTATCTAGGAAAGACGTTTTGCTATTCGCGTTCCATGCGACACATTGCCGTTTGAACTTTTATGAAAAACGTGCTGATGTCTATCGATTTTCGGGAACCTGAACATCCTGTTCTATGTTCTTTTTGGTTTTCGTGTCGTATCTGTCGAATTTGCCACATTTTCTTTTGTTCTCTCCAAATGTGTCAGTCCCCTAGAAGCTGGTTTTCAGGCATTTGCAGAGGTTCTTCTTCCAACACATGACTACCCCTAACGCTAATGAAACACATGAAAAAGAAACACATGAGGTCTCGGACAATGAAGATGCACTCCTTCTAGGTAAGCTCAAATGATTCAAAGATTGTGAAAAATCTCGCACCTTCTTTTTCAGAGCTTACCGCTCTTCCGCTTCATAGAAGCTCACGACGATCAGGTCCGTGGTCATCTCTGCATTATGAACCCAACCTGAGTTAGTTGACACCCTTTCTAACCTTTGGCGTCATTCGCTCCTTCTTCCTTTCGATTTTTTTACTAAAGCATAGTTTTATAGCCTTCACTCTTGTTTGCTGTTAACAAGCAATAATGGGGATGTACCCTACTACTTCAAAGTTTTGTAATCCTGTGGAATTACTGCAGATTCCCAATGAGATAGTTGACACAGCATAGGTTATGCAGCATTATGACTCACAATGAGTTGCAAAAATAAATACTGAATGTCAGTCAGCTGTGAGAATACGGTTGACAACGTTTTTCATTGTTATTTTGACTTTCCCATCAAAAGCCGTCAAACTTAGCAAGTAGTAATCTAGGACGTCTCAAACAGCCTGTAAGACAAAACACCTTGTTTACTGGTTTTGAAGGGTTCTGTTATAGCTTCCATGAAGCTTTCACAATACTGGAGGCACCTGCTTTTTTCTAAATTCGACCAGCCTGAACACGCTAAAACATTTCGCGACCAAAGAAACCTGCTACGTATTGCCTGAGAGTATCGTGCGGCATAAGTTTCATTTTCCCGAAACACAACAAGGCGGCTGAGCGGCTTACTTAAAAAATCGGAAAAGGTGCGTCTTGTAATCGTGAAATTAGAGTAGTGACAGCTGGAGAATTCGCTCTCTTGACCGTCTCGCCAGCCGTCTGGCATAGTGGGCATGGGATTCAATCTTATTGTTAGAAAAAGGAGTTTGTCTGTTGATGGCGCATTTTCGGTTGATTGAGTATGCACTTTCTATTGTACGCCCTATCTCGTTCACCCGAAAAATACACTTAATGGAACTGGAATTGACCAACACCTGTCGCGTTTTTGGTACTGCTAGAACATTCATGTCATAGACACATTCTATGCAGTTTCAACATCAAAAGAAATAAGAGAATGACATTCTTCGCTTATTTGATATGAAACTGCACTTACATCTGTGTAGTTGTTTCTAGAACTCAGCTGAGTCATGTTCTAGAAGTTAGCTGAATCAACATCAATCAATCGTGTACTTACACTTACACTGACCGTTTAAAATAATCAGATCCATTCAAAATCGCATTTCAGAATCTATGTATCGTTGCTGTGACTATACTCGTCCACTAGCATCCAAAGAAGATACAGTGGTGTATTACAAAAAGGGTGATGTAGGTTTAGCCCATGTGCACAAGGTCTGTTTTCTTTCTGCTTTGATTATTTTTCGTTGCCTATAGTCTATTATATAAGGTTGATCGAAAACGACTCAACACTGCCCTGTACAATGGTTCTATATCATGTCAAACGCTAGAACTTGAGACCATCCCATCTTGCCGTCGTATACGTAGACTAGTCGAAGAGGTAGTATTTCGATAACTTTTTTTTCCTTGCTTCTTTTCCATGTGCACCTCGTCCTTTTCAGGTATTCGTAGTGGATCGGGGGTTTTCCGTAGGTGAAACTGTTATAAAATACGAAAATGAATTTGCTGGAAATCCCGAAAAAGAGCATATGTGTATGCCTCAGCTTGAGACTGCCATAGGTCAAGTTGTCAATGTAGAGGTGATTTGCTTTTTTATCATCGTTAATGCCCAAATAGATTTCTTGGTCAAATTTAGGTACGTGGTGATGTTTTGGTGCTGCCACAGAAGAACTTGGTTGTGAAAAATGTTCCTTTGGGTGGAAATGAATACGTGAGTAGAATTTCGTTGATTTGTTTCCTTTCTGCCATTTTGATCATATAGACTGAAATGGTGAATTACAACTCTGCGCATAATTATGTGATGTACAAAGATTGGATAGGAAATGCTTGCGACTGTGTCAACGATGTCACTTTGGTATATCGCGGCAGATATCGGTTGGTTTCCAAACGCTAATCTTCTTTGTTGTTTTGGTCTGCATCTGCTATAAAACAGTAATTTGCACAGCTTTTTTTGCGCATTTTCAAAATAATATTCTGATATGACTGTGTTGGGACCCAAATGCCTTTTCATAGTTTTGTCGTCAAAGAAGGAGGTCGAAGTGGGGTTTATCTTCGACGTCAGGATCACGGCGATGACGGAAAGGCCCTAGTGCCTGGCGAATGCGTGTCGATCTCGATTAGTGAAGCGATCGGTATTGTTCTCACTTTCTATTCGTCATCTGGTTTCATTACACTTTTTCTTTGCTCAGGACGCTCAGCGACCTGGGAAGGTGCTCCACCGAAAACGCTTACTGCCTCTAGGAGACGAAGAGGAGTTGGTAGTGTCAAGTGTGTCATAGAAAAGGTATTGTCTATATTGTGAGGACCTATTAGGAGTTATTCATTTAAATTTTTTCAGATTGAGACTCATTCAATAATTGTTGACTGGATTACATCTCCTTCATCAACTAGAAGCCCTCCGAAAACCATACCCAAGAACGAGTTGAGCAAGTATGTCTTCAAAAATCGATATTCTTGCTCGTTATTTTTGCTTATACCTTTTTTTAGAGTTACTCGCATTGATCCTTCCGCTAATCCGCGTCCAAGCACTTGCGACCGCGTCAAGGTTGTGCCCGATGGACTGTCAACGGTGTGTGCTTCCTCTTTAAATGTTCCAGCAACTATTCTTTTTTGTTGCAGGTCTGCACTTTTAAAGAGTTCTTCTCTGATCTAACGCAACAATGCGCTGATCGATTCAAAAAGGTTATTGTGCTGATTTTGCTTCTTTCATTTTTTGAAGCCCTACACGCAGCGCTTCATGTTTTAGCTGATTGCTAGAGACGATGAAGTGCTCTCTACTCCCTGTGAGAACTGTTCGAAAGCATTACAAAAGGATGTGAAGCAAAATACAACCACTGCTAAAGTCAGTCTCTGGAATCTTGATAACCAAATGAAAGAGGAATTGAGTTTCGTAGAGCATAGTACTACACTGGTCAATTCTTTTCTTGTGCTATGCTAGAAATAGCACGGAATACGTATCTTGATAATGCTGAGTTGTATCCGGATGAAAATTTTAGTGACTTTTGAGAGATGATGAAATTTTTGATTTTCCTTTCTTATACCCTGCTAAACAAAAAGTTCTCACTTTTTCTTTTGATCTCCGTCATGATCCATGTGTTTACCTATATCAAATTTCTCGTTATTTTTGGCTCACTGGAATCAAGCAGAAACTATGACCTCCACGTTTTCTTCTTACTTAATCCGGGTTAGAGTTTTTATTTCAGGCCGCGAAAATTGCTCGATTGAGCAGTTCCGCGGAGCAAGTGAAGGAAGCAGAGGCAAATTCGTCGCAAACTCCCATCTCATCTGAAGCACCAGTAAGAACTATGGTTACCTATGATTAAAACTTGTTGGTTAATGAATGAACGTTGAGTTCGTGATTACCAATCATTAGACAGGGTTTTGAATCCTTCTTTGGGCTTATCAGACTAGATATTTGTGATTCCCCGTTTGGGTGCAACTTGCATTCGATAGAAAGGAAAATAATGTCGTTTCTCAAGCTAAGGAGGTATTCTGAACTGCAACGGCATCTGAAGCACTATTAGGAAATCTCTAAGATGATTTGAAGTATTCGCATATACCTATGGAGTTCGAAATCGTACGAACACTTCCAATTTTGCAAAAAAAATCGCAACAGTGCATAAATTTAGAGATAAAATAATTGCTGGGAGTGAGCAACTTTTTCCTCTAATTCTCTTTCCTCCTACATACGCAATGATATGCTGAAAAAACTCGAAAGAACCATGCTGCACACCGGTACATGCATCAGTTTCTAGGAATGCGTCGAATCTGGCGTCACTTGATTCCACTGTTTTTTCTTTCACGAAATTTGCACAGCAACAGTTCATCTTCAGCGATTCTTCAGAAAAAAGTTTCCAAATTTTAGATGGCTCAAGGCGATGTGGCGCACACTGCAGAAGTTGCTTCCTCAGACGACAGTAGCGACGACAACGATGTGCCTTCAAGTTGTGGCAAAGCCAGAGTTTCCGCTTGCCGTACCATTTTGCGGCAAAAACGAATGTACTGTTTTTTTTTTTCAATCACTGGTGCTGTGAAAATACGATACTGTCTCAGAAGAAAATATCCAACTAGGCGAAGAAGATGCACTCCATCGTTGCCTGTAGGATGTTCTCGGTTAGCTAAAGATGTCCTCGGTGACGGGTTTGTCGGAGAGGTTAGTTTTTTGTTCCAATTTCGGTTTCGTGAGGACTGTTTTTTTTCGTAGCCTTTCTAGGAAGCCAGATATAGTTTCTCGTATCTTTTATGATTTAAGGTGTCTCTCTCAAGTATGCTCATTGTAGGTTTTATTATCGAATACCCTAGTGGATGTACAGTGGATGAATGGCACTATAGAACGCCAAATTCCCGGATATATGTTGATTCCTCATGATCCTGATCTCGATCAACAAGACCATTTACCTGGAGTTGTTGTAGCTCGAAAAGACTCACAAAATGCAGGTGAGATCCCCTTTTCTTTTTGGAGGTTTTGTACAATGATTACGCATGTAGAATCTGTGTTTGGTTTAATACTGTCCACCAATCGTGCGGAGCGTTCCTGCGTTGTCTCTTGGTTCGAAAGGACCAAGGATTTGGTACGAAATTAGCTGATTTTTGATCCTCTGAAAATAAATTCATTTTTAGGTCAAAGATCTCGGCCAAGAAGAATGTCTTCTCTTTGATATTATGCCGCATCCGCACTATAAACGGTAAACTTAGGTAAAATTCCCATTTCCGACTTACTAAATGTTTTCATTACAGCCTGTTTATTGGAAATTACGGTGTCGTGTTAGACCAGCAGCATACATCCACTGATATTCGAGATGTTGCCTTCCAGGTGGTTGCTGATCTTACAAACGGCAAACAGGTCAGGATTAGGAGTGCTTGCTGTTTCAGTGTGGCACTTAGCTTTTTTTCAGCGAATTAGATTTTTGAACGGTCAAGAAGAGGAGCTGTGGCCTTTCGATATCTTGCCGTAAGTGCTATACCTTCCTCCGATTTTTCCGCCCCATTTATGGCAAAATTGTAAATATTTTTTTATGATTTTGAATGATGACTATTTACAAGCTATCGCTTGGTTGAAAATATACAAGCACATGTAGTGTGCGAAAAACATGTATCTCATACAAATCACACAAACTTTGCATTTGTTATAGTCGCTTCCAGTTCTGACCTTTACGTGTATTTTACTCTGTCGTTGTATTCCCCAAGAATTCATGTGATACCGTGAAATATGTTGTTCTAGTGAAAAACGTTCGCTGATTGTCTTTTTTAGTATACATTTTGTGGATGAATCTCTTGATAGTGACAGCGACGATAGTTCCACTATCAGCGAAGAGGAAACACAAACGGAAGGTGACAAAGACAGTGTCACCATGTAAGTGCTGTTTACTCGCAATTAGATATAGAGATTGCTGAAGAGAGATACGTTATAGGACGGCTGTGACAGATGTCTTACATAAATTTGGAATAACTGATGAACATAAAAGCAAGAGTGAAGATCTGAGGCGTGATGAAATTGATCAAGCCATCATTGCTATGCTTAAATCTTCTCCAGAAGTTGAAGATCTTGTCCAAAAATGTTCAGAGGATCTTGAAGCTTGTAGAGCTCATACGTTCTTTGGCGTTTGTGTTACGCTGGTAAGTTTTCCATTTTTGCAGCGCTCACTAGAAGCATTTTTATAGGCCTCCGAGAAGATTGATAAGCAGAAGCGAGTTTCTTGCGGGTCGCTTATTGAGTTTGCTGATGTGATGACATGTTTATACCGGTCGTCTTTGCTCCCGGACAACTTTAGTTTGAGTCAATTTTCCGAATTGGTAAGTCAACTGTGATGTATATATTTGACTAGCTGGCTTACCCGGCTCCGCCGTATCCGGACCAAACTTGGCACACATACACTTCGGGCCCCGGCGGGTGTCACAGTCCACTTTTCGTTATCGATCGATGTCGATTTTACCGATTTTTATCGATTTTTTTGCAGAGTTCACCTACAGGGCTAGGAGTTGGCACAGGGGGGGAAGTGAGCATGGGGATTCCGAATACAATATTAGTTTTCAGAATTATCGATTACTTTTATTGATTTTATCGATTTTTTGTAAATTTTGACATGCGAGGCTGGGATTTTGCGCAGGGGGTAATCGAGCATGCTGATTACGAACACAATATTAGTTTTCAGGATCGTCCATTACTTTTATCGATTTTATCGATTTTTTTGTAAAGTTTGAGCTAGGGGGCTGGGAGTTGGCACAGGGGTGTAATCGAGCATGCTGATCACCCCCAAGGGGGGTGATCAGCATGCTCGATTACACCCTGTGCAAACTCCCAGCCCCGCAGGTCAAACTTTACAAAAAAATCGATAAAATCGATAAAAGTAATCGATAATCCCGAAAACCAATATTGTATTCGGAATCCCCATGCTCGATTACCCCCCTGTGCGAACTCCCAGCCCCGTAGCTCAAACTTTGCAAAAAAATCGATAAAATCGATAAAAGTAATCGATAATCCCGAAAACCAATATTGTATTCGGAATCCCCATGCTCGATTACCCCCCTGTGCCAACTCCCAGCCCCGTAGGTGAACTCAGCAAAAAAATCGATAAAAATCGATAAAATCGATATCGATCGATGACGAAAAGTAGCCTATGACACCCGCCGGGGCCCGTAGTGTATGTGTGCCAAGTTTGGTCCGGATCGGTTCAGAAATGGAATTTTCTATTCGGAACATACGTACATACATACATACATACAGACATACATACAGACAGACATACAAACAGACATTCAGCTTTATATATAAGATGATTCCAATCTATTTTAATCGTAGGTGGACGATTATGAGAACGCTAAAGTATTTGATGCATATGTTTGTGCTAAAGGCACGACAAAGCAACGATCAAACCATCTTGCATCGTTGACCAAAGCGTAAGTGCTTTATTCCTATCTGGTTATCTGGAAGTTTCTATCCATGCGATTTCTGTATTTTTCATTACTTATAGGAGGGATCTAGCCAAAAATCATCCCGAATTGATCTCAATTTACCACCATCTGAGTGTGTATCTCATCACTCGCAAAGATGATGGTGTGCGAAAACCTTTACGCTCGAAATTCTATGAAATTCTCGACGTTACCACCTTCGAGCCTAGGCATCTTTCATGGGAATACATTCAGGCCATAGCCGATGATTTGCTGGCTGTTCATGAAGTTTGCGTAAGTTTATCTTTATAATCAGACTACAAATCAGTCCTATTGGTCTGGCATCTAATTACTTGTATATTGTGTTATATTGTGTTCCTCATGAATAGAAAGATTTGCTCAATTTAATGGTCGAACTATCGGAGATATAAAACTTAGCACCTCAAGAGATTTGAAACTTGGGACCTTGAGCGAAATCTGCTGTGTACAGTAGATTTTTCAGGAGGAAGAGGAAGCAGGCGCGCGTAAGACTAAAAGAAAACGAAGAACATCCATAACGGCATCGACGTCATCGGCAGAAGTGTGTTTATTTGAGCAATAATCAATATAATATCATAATGTGGCAGTTAATCTCAGCTGAATTCATTCTAGGTGCGCCAGGTGACACTTTGTATAAAGGCAACTGCTAGAGATTTGACGAGAGGCACGCATCAAGCGAGTTTGATTACGACATTGTTGGGACAAATCATGCAGTTATCGAAATTGGATGAAGGAGATGCTGAACCTATAATGCTGTATCCAAATGATGGAACTGTTATGGAAAGCTTAGCTCCAGAAGAACGCATTGATGAGACTTACAAAAAAGCAGTAAGTGGCTCATGTGCTATCTCTTCTCATCAGAATCTAGGGAATCCCTATAATTTAGCGAATCTACGCGTTGGCTTCTGCTCTTGTATTATTATCCCGATGTAAACTGATAGATTACAATTCTTTGACAGAAGATTCCATTTGGAAAGATGTAAGTATTATTTTCCTTAAATTTCCATATTCTCTACGTTTTAGCCACGTTGTGCCTCTGCCTATGCGTGTTTCATTATTCTTTTTCAGCTGAATTGTGTGTTTGCCGAAAAGTACAGCCCTCCATCATTTGTAGAATACGCAACTCTTCATGAAATCATCAACTATGTGTAAGTCAAAACAAGCCTTAATTTGAACTGTTTCCCTTGCTAAATATAAGCGCTGTTTCCTACTCTGTTGACGGAGAGCCTTGTCTCTTCCAGACGCTCTGTGGACTTTTACGATTCGTCGTTGTTAAAGCAGCTTCGTTTGTTCACATCTATGTACTCCGTCGATGACATCAGCAGTCAGGTAACTTACACTTTTGATTAACCTTTTGTACCATGTGCTTATTTCATCATTCTGATGATTTAGGTGGAGCAGGAGTATTCGAAGAAGTTGAAGGAGATCTCATCTTCTTCCGATAATGTCAGGTGAGACAGATTCTGCGCATTGTTTCTAAGCCGATTGATTTATCATTTTATGTTTAGTGAATCTTCTGCGGAGAAACATCCTATCGTAGCAGCCATCAAGCAAAAAGGAACTTTCACGGTGAGTCCTTGCTCGTTGAGCTCCAAAAAGACTAGGCATCTGCAAAACTGAGTTTACTCATGTCTATGTTTTCTCATTTGGAGATATTCTAACCAAGTTCATATCGAAATTTCTGTTTGCAGATGTTGGACGAATGTCCTGACCCCCAAGACCACTCTGAATCACTTGCTAATCGCAAATTTTATTCAACTGTTTTCAAAGAACACAAAATGCTAGCGCAACATGTTCCGGACAGCATCCATGTTCACGCATTTGCTAACAGGTATGATAAACTGCCATATTCGAGAAGAAAAATCTGCGAAATTTTTTTTCCAGGCTCAATGTGTTGCATGTTATCATCATGGGACCTTCGGGAACACCCTTCGATAGCACACCCTTTTACTTTATTTTCAAATTAGGCAGCGATTATCCGGAAAAACCGCCAGAGGTTTGTTCAAACGTATGCGATTTTAAAAAATATTTTGGAATATACAGGTGACTTATGTGGCTTATTCCCAAGAGCAGCTGAATCCGAATCTTTATCAAAATGGAAAAGTCTGTACGAGTTTGCTAGGCACATGGTCTGGTCAGGTAAGAGCGATTAACGTCCACATTCTTCCATTATTATTATTAGGGTGATCCAAAAGTAATGGGGCACCTAGAGAATAAATTCAGTTTTCTCAAATAGAAAAGCTAACTGGAAGTCCAAGTTTTGGCAGATGTTAGTACATAACAAAACCTTCTGATAGAGGTCTATTGTTGGGCACTGTCACATGGCGTTATTTTTATAAGGGCTCAAAATTAAAGCTCATCCCTTCAAGTAATTTTGAACTTTGAGCACGCGTCGCAGTAGAACAAGTGAGCCTACTAAAGATATCTGCGCAACAATGGGTGAGGGGACTGTCACCAAATCCACGATAGCTCGGTGGTCCTAAGGCTAGAGAACAGAAGATATAGCACTGGGTATCAAGAGACACATCACGTATTCTTTCATTAAGGTAATCAAATAAGCTCAACCTTAACAGTTGCTTTCTGATAGTGCTTTTTACGCTCTATCCATGTATATGCAAGTTACTTCGACTTTTCTCATTTTCAAAAAATTATGGGCCGAAACATGATTTTTAGTCTGAAAATCTGCGCCGAACACCGCTCTTTTTCGAATAAAATGCCTTTTTTACATGAAATAGTAGGCAGGAATATTCAAGTAATTGTTAGAAAGGGCTTGGAAAGCTCTTTCGAATGGTAGCCATATGTTGAGGGACTTTCAGGTGCAGCAGCACAAATTTGGATGGCGTTCATAAAAGTGTGTCTGTCTTCTTTGAAGCGCCGCTAGAAGAAGTGTCGGTGAGGTGCCGCAAGGTGCTGTCAAGATAATCTGCGAAGGTCACTTTATACAAAAGCGTTCAAATTGCTGGTTGTTCATAACTAATCAGAAAGAAATCTTGAAGAATTTACAAAAAAATCAAGGTGCCCCATTACTTTTGGATCACCCTAATAAATAGAATATTCAGGGTGTTGAGACCTGGAATCCAGCAAAATCGAATCTTCTCCAAGTGTTATTGTCAATTCAAGGTGATCTATTTAATTTGCTGCTATTTCATATGATATGATTTCACTTCTTGGGTTTTAGCGCTAATTCTGGTGCCGGAACCGTATTATAACGAAGCCGGATATGAAACGAGAAAACAGCAGACAGAAATGGCTGATCGCTCCAAGCGTTACAATGAAACAGCCACAATAAACTCACTTGAGTACATGCTCAAGGTGAGGAAATTTACGAAAAATTTAAATGTACTATTGATAGTTAAGCTGGCGAGATTTGTTTCAGATCTATAAAGATCCTCCTAGCGATTTCAAAGAACTTGTGAAGGAACTTGTTGAAAAGGAATACACAGGGTAAGGATTTTTCTTTCCTATGAAGCTATAGCCAAGAATTTACTGATCACAAATCTTTTTCTTTGTTATTCGAATACAGTATCAAGCCAGGTGGTCATCATTTCGCAAGATAACAGAGTGTAGTCACTCCTTCTTAATTACCATGATAAAAATTGACTGAAAATCAGTATCCACAATTGTTTAACTTACACAAAGCACAAAAAAAGTGAATAACGATTATATCAATAGCGCAAGTTCTAACTGTGCATAATTCAGTGACATGTTATTTTTTTTCTCGAAGTTCCAGTAAACAAGACTTGCAGTATATTAATGTTACAGGCTGCGAAATCGTGTTAAAGGATGGATTGACGATAGCAAACCACCCCTATTTCCTATCATGAATTCAAAAGGCTTCAAACTGGCTCTTGAAAAGGCAATCGACCGATTAGATGCAGCGATTAAACCGAAGTTAGATGAACGACCTGAAGAGCCTATGGAAGTAGGCGATTCGAACATCGAACTTGAGACAGAAGAGGTGAGCCTTATCGTGAAAAAAGTTCTTTGGTGATTTTATGAATAGAATGTTTTAGGCACACCATGACCCAACTGAACCGATTTATGAATGGTCAGTGCCAGCACAACCACGCAAAATGCAAAAAGTACCACGTTCATGCCCTACACAATGAGATTTATTGAATTTTTCATTCCCAATATCATAGTGAAACATTTCAACTGCATGCTACAAATGGTTTCTTTTCTTTTCTACAGCGATTTATTTCCGCTATTGTTTTATGATTTGCTCTGTGCTATTTGCAACTGTCCGAGTGGTGAACACGGGTTAAAGCGAACGTGTACATCATGTTCATAATAACAATTAGGCAGATTTTATAACAATGTGGATAAGAGAATGCTTATTTGAATGGTTTTACTCTTAAATTCTCTGCAGCAAAATACCAGTAATAAAATATACCATGAAAAGTGTTGTACACCACATTTACATCATCTAGTTGATTCCCAATGCACTATTCACCAAAACCTCAAGCACACCTTCGTGTAGCAGTCGAACAACATCGTCTCCACCTCCGATAAGTTCTCCACCGATAAACACCTTCAAAAAGTCTATATTATTGGAAAACTAGATGAAAAATAACGTAAAGAGAAGGGTTTTCAAGTAACCTTTGTGGGCATGCGCGCAAAGCAGTCTACTGTTACTAAAAGAAGTTGGTGCGGAGGTTCTCCCACACTAACCGGTACCAATTTTCCAAACCCAGAGAGTATGAAGCTTGGTTGGCCAAAAGGCAGGTATTGTATCGTGACCCCGCCGGTCATAGCGGCGCCTCAGGGCATCTCCCAAATAATGAAAAACTTGAACTCACTTTGGGTACAGATCTGCTGCCGTACCTCTTCTCAAACTCGTCCTGAATTTTATCACCCGGCAGGTCGGTGCGTTCGTCAAGTTCTACATACTCAAAGTGCCTTTGGTTTAATCGAAATGTTGCTAGAGCTGCCTTCGCTTTCCTAGAAAGAAAAGTAAATAAGGTGAAGTAATTAGTCCAGTGTTTTCTTCACTGGGAAACAAAATGCAAACATTGTTTCAGCTCGAAATAATACTCAGAAGCAGAATAAAAATCAGCTTCTTTTTTCACAAGCAAGAACAAAAAATAGATAACGTGGTAAGCAGACCTTGCAGGAGTACAAAACATAAACATACTTGCAAAATAGACACCATGTTTTGCTGAACACCACTATCGGTTTCGACGCTATGTACTCATCGATAATCTCAGCAGGCGATCGGTTCTCCGAAGCTTTCTTTTTGTGCATGTTTATATCGTATGTCAGGAGTGTGGCCTCGAGGACATTCTTCTTTCGTTCCCTCTGGAATCAATGGTGATGAGTCGGCAAAAGAAAAGCACACTACATCATGCAAAACGATGGGGGAAGAAAAAAGTCTTGAACGTCCATAACAATAAAGTTCTGCTTGTTGTAATTATCATCACTCCCAAACTGGTGCACCTGCAGTTCACTAGTGGAGTCTACACCTAGGCAATAGTCCAGCTCATTCTGCAAAAAAGTAACCGCGCATATCTCCCCCTCTCCTTTTCCACCTCCGTTTTCGGCAGCACAGAAGGTGGATGAGGCAGAGTAGCTCTGGTCATCAACATGGATGGTCCGAAGGTACATATGCGTCCAGCAGACTACCAGAGATGGTGTCTACATAATAAAAGGAGAACCTGGGTACTCTAAAGCCAAAATTTGAATTCACCATCTCATCCACGTTGATTGGCGAAGCTACCTCTATCGCATCCACTCTGAGCGATTTTCTAACTTCGGAATACCTTCACCAACGGCGCAGGGGTGATTGCATAGTTAGGAGTTCATAACATAGAGCATTCAAATCTCGCACCTCCAACGGTGCTTCTAATGTTCAATGTTTGAAAATGCTATAAACAAAATGAAGTTCGATATGGAACGCCAAAAGAAATGTGAAAGTTAGATTTGCTTGAGAAACGTCCATCGCAAATTTAACAATGAAGAAACTCAAAATCTAAATTCCCGCATTCGCACCTCTTCCAACTCCTTCAACCTCTGCTTCGCAGCTTCTTCTGCTAAGCGCTTAGTTTCCTCTGCAACTCTTTCGTGTTCCATTTGCTGTTTCTCTCTAATCGCGGTTAGTCTCGAAGCAACACGAGCATTTACATCATCATCTGAAGGTTTGATTAAAGAGTTCCTCACAACTGAAATATGAGATGTGAAAACTCACCAAACTTCTTCTGCTGAGCAGTTCTTTCTTCTTGTTCTAATATGTCCAATGTCGGCTTGATCATTCGGTTATACAATAAATAAGCAGTGACGAGGCCAATTGTAATAATCCAGCCATATGGGGCGATGTAATCCCAGGCTAAAAAAACGCTACTTAGCGATTGCAGAATGAGAAATCATTTCCAATACTTATTTCATGTATACTATATGCTCTAAAGGGAGCCTCAAAATTAAGGTATATTTCGCGACACAACATAAATGGGTGGTCCAAAGAAAGGAGATATTTATAGAATATGGCACAATTTTTCTGATCTTTCGGAAGACATTCTAGGACCTATCTCCTTCCTGAGAAGTGCCGGAGAGCCAACAGAACCTTCGTTATTTATTTATTTTTAAATATTAGGTGCGCCGTAAATGAAAAAATAGTAAAAACAAACAAGAAAAACCCAGCCAATCTCTGTATGGAATCCAAATCTTGCTCGCTTTAAGATTATCGTTTGAAGGTTGAAAAATTTCCTTGATATTATAATTTTACATTTTTAAAAAAATGGTCTCGATAAAAAAAACAATTAAGGGAACGGCCATAGGTTCGCAGTGTTCGCGGTGTTCGTGGTGTTCACGGTGTTGTCGGGATCGGCCATACTAGGTATTCCAGATACTAGGTATTCCAGATGATACTATTCGATACTATACTATTATGCTACTATGATACTATTACTATACTATGCCATACTACAGTGCTGGACATAATTATAGGGACACTCCAGAAATCGTCGTAATTTTCGTTCTTGTCAGTGAATCTGTCTGAAACTTTGCTGTATGGTGCGCATGTAAGCCTACCATAACTCCTCAGAACGGCTTCCAATCCCGTTGATTCCGAACGGAAGAAATGGAAAAATTCGAAAAAGCCTGTTTTGCAAGCTGGACATAATTATAAGGACACCTGGCCTTTTCAAACATTATCGCATTCCTTGACTCCCAAATTTTTTGTAGAGTTACATCCCAGAATATGAAACTTTTGCAGCACCTAAGACCTGTCATGCTACTCAAGGAAAGATGATCCTTGCATTTTTCGTTTCCAAAGGCATCAGAAGTCAAACTGCGTCAACAAACAGCTGGTTTGAGGAGTTTTCAAGCCAGCGTTCATTTCAAATGACAGTCCTGGAATACACTTAGCCTTTTTGATAGATAAGGTGAAGAGCGCTTTCGTAAACTCCGCGTAATCGCTAATTTTGACGGACAGACTCCAACCTCAACATAGGATTGCCGCGCTTTTAAACCACAAAACTCGATTTTCAAGTTACAGAAAACGCTGCAATGTAGCCGCAACAATGCACGTACTACAATAAACATGTGTGCCTAGTCAGGAAAAAATTTCGGGGTTGCACATTCTGGTTCAGCCGCAGTTGTCATCCGTTGAGAGTTGAGTGGAGCACCCTGCATCCAACTCAAATCAAGAAATCGAACAGGAGAGCGCTTGAAACTTCAAAATCTTAACTAATCTCACCTACCGCGTAAAATGCGACATGAAACAGAGAAGGATATAGTGAGATTTGTGATTGTGTTGAATCTACTGCTCGCAGAGAAATTTCGTGGAAAGTATTTCAAATCTAAATGCCAACTGCAGCACTAGAAAAAATCTGAAAGTTGTTGCAAAAGCTGCGTCTCCATGTAGACAATATAATAAATCGAGTCCATCATTTCACGAACATTGGAAAGTGAGTTTTGTGGTTTAAAAGCACGACAACCCTATGTTGAGGTTGGAATCTGTCCGTCAAAATTCGCGATTACGCGGAGTTTACGAAAGCGCTCTTCACCTTATCTATCAAAAAGGCTAAGTGTATTCCAGGACTGTCATTTGAAATGAACGCGGGCTTGAAAACACCTCAAACCAGCTGTTTGTTGACGCAGTTTGACTTCTGATGCCTTTGGGAACGAAAAATGCAAGGATCATCTTTCCTTGAGTAGCATGACAGGTCTTAGGTGCTGCAAAAGTTTCATATTCTGGGATGTAACTCTACAAAAAAATTTGGGAGTCAAGGAATGCGATAATGTTTAAAAAGGCCAGGTGTCCTTATAATTATGTCCAGCTTGCAAAACAGGCTTTTTCGAATTTTTCCATTTTTCTCCGTTCGGAATCAACGGGATTGGAAGCCGTTCTGAGGAGTTATGGTAGGCTTACATGCGCACCATACAGCAAAGTTTCAGACAGATTCACTGACAAGAACGAAAATTACGACGATTTCTAGAGTGTCCCTATAATTATGTCCAGCACTGTATTCCACCGCGAACACTGCGAACACCACGAAGAGCGAACCTAGGCCGTTCCCTAACATAGGTTTCCAAATGCACTTCAACAAAAAGTCAAGAAATAAGGTGTTACTCAAGCATACTTTTGAAGAAATAAAAACTTCATTCATATTATAATTTGACCCTATTTTCAGGTGTACAAGCCGCAGGAGATTTTCTCCTAAAATCGACCAGCCCAAACAGGCCAGAAGACTTCGCGACCAAAGGACCCTACCGTGCTACGTATTGCTTTAGAGAATCGTACGGCATAAGAATCGCTTTCCGAAACATAGTGAAGCGGCTGAGTGGCTCGCTCGAAAATTTGAAAAAGTGCGGCTATATACTTGAAAATAGGGTATATAAAAGGGCTCGGTAAGAAAAAATTAACATCGGTTTTCAGTCGAACATTAACAGAAAGTCAAGAATTAAGGTGTTACCCAAGCACACATTTTTGTGAAAATAAATACTCCATAGAATGTTGCCCAGCCCCTTCGCCGAAAATTGAAAAATAAAAAATGATCAAGAAAGATAAATATGAATTCTATTCCATACAAGCAAAAACTATGCAAGACAATTTCAATAATAAACGAAAGGAGTCATAGATAGTCTAAATATAAAGAGTTAGACTCACCATCGACAATCATAATGAGATGAACGGCAGCCGGGTTGCAGCCGCAACACCACCACAGGCGTAGTCGACGTGTTCTAAGATTGCAGGTTTTTTCTTGTTGTGTGGCCTTGACGCTCCCTGGAAACACGTTCTGTTCTCGTGCCGCATTCAGTTTTATTCAAAGGGGCATTAAAATGCGACTCATGTTGATTTACACTATTATATCATCCGAATAGCATAAAAATCAATGTACTGGTCATCGGAGACGAAGAGAAACCGTAGAGGGAGGAAGTTTTGCTAGAATTTTTACTTAAAGATTCTGATTTGCTTAACTGCATAAGAACCTTGAAATCCTCGAGAGTAGCCAAAAAGTCCTACAGCATTAGCGATTTTCCAAAGTTACAAGACTGTAGAAACTTTTAAGGGTCCGTTCAGTAGTAAAAAAATGCATGCTTCAATTTCAAACCTCACAGTGTACATTTTACAATGGTGTTGCGAGCTACAAATCTGTTGGCAACGTCAGTCTTGGAATGTGATTCTCTTCCGAAGCTATATTCTGAAAATCAGCCATCTCCCATAGAATAAACGCTACAGAATTTGTGCCGATTGTTCACATCTTACTAATGGCAATGTCTCTCTTATGAAAATTTCCAGATGACCTTCGAAGTAAGCAAACACTGGAAAAAAATCAAAACCGATCCTCAAAACCCACGAGGCACTGAAATTGTCGTTGTTTCACATGTATTGTGTTAGCGCACGCACTGCCACGAAAATGTCGCACAAATCAATCGCGGTTACGGTGGCGCCGCGTTCAGTCGAGGCGGTCGCCGTGGCCTTTTCCGCAAAGCTTTTGATCGTCATCTTCTCCTTTTTTGTTTTCTTCTGCCGGAAAAGATTAGTCAGTTGGTCTGGATATCTTCCATCCTCGATCTTATTTGGGAAAGTGTGTCAAAACGTTCTTTTTATGGTTCTTTAGACTGTCAAGTACGGTGAAGTGCGCCTCTAGTCTTTCTGACTCTAGCTTAGCAAAGTAGACCCAAATTAGAACAGCGAGATTACCGAGTCAAAAACGTTTATGTGTTTGGGTCGAGATTTTTTTTCGCAAAAGGAAAGAACTTGAGTAAACTGTAAAAAGTCTAACATTTTGTCTCATTTTCAGCTCCACTTCTACGGTCTTGGGCAGAGTTCACGCAACTTTATCGCCTCGCGATTCTTTCAGCAAGACACAATTACGAGTCCATTTACCGATCACCTTGGATTTCGGTTGTGATAGTTAGTCACGGTCATGTTGGAAAACTATCACAATTTGTCTTGTTGAAAGAATCGCTGCGTGAAATCGCGTGAACTATGTCCGAGGCCTACCACGGACCGCAAAAAAGTCATCTGTAATGTTTTCCCGGCCTTTAGGAACTTTTGTAACAAACAGGTTTCTCACACTTGTTGGCGCAGTGACTGGGTTTTTTTGTAAATTCTTGACATTTGCCAAGTTGCGACCTACCTTACCATTTGCCAAGGTGCGGCCTACAGCAGGCACAATTGTGCCTGTTGTATGCGTCATTCTCTTCCTCCCAATCTTATTATCTTGTTTTTTTTCTTTTTCTCGCAGATGTCTCTTCCCACCGCTGCCTGGTTCTTCAACATTCGCATGTACCATTGTACAAAAAATTCCGTCCCTCCTCTTCTGAAACCATGTAGTTAATTGCCTTTCAGTTCTCTTCGAAGTGAAAATTGTTAATGACACATATCTAGCACATAATCTGACTGATGAATTTATTCAGTTTTACAGTTTCAATTGAGTCACAAAAAATCACAAAAGTTGCATTGAATTTTGGTATCCCAGTGGTATTACTGCTACTTCTAATAAATATGCCCAATCAATCATCCTTGAAAAAAGGTTTCCAGAATGCGACAAAAAGTTCGATTTCTCGCGAGGTCTTTCTGACTTGAGCAATCGTTGACTTTGAATTTGATTGACAGTTTGATTTTGTACGATATGCTAACAACATTTTTCTCCACAAAGTACAGTAGCCTGGAGCATGATTTTCTCCTTCCAATACCTATAATCTTGCAAATTCGTTGGGTGGAAAAAGTCAGATATTCGAAAGATAGATCTTTTGGTACATTCCAGTACCAAAAGATCTATTTTTTCGTACTGGAATGTACCAAAGATTCTACCCTAATTTTCCTTTTTCAGGTTCACAATTTCACAGTATCAGCCTACATAGAACTCTGTTGATGGATAGGGCTGGACGTAAACGTAAAGTATGTTAATTACGTTTTTGAAATTTGGTACCATTTTATATTTTCGATAGTCTCACTGACTAGATAGTCTGGTGGCCAAATAGTCTCCCTTTGTCTACGATACATAAGTAGTCAGACTGGAAAATAGCATGCACTCCACATGAGCGCTGTTCTCCCTGCATTTCTTGGAACTCTTTGTGAGCGCACTGAATCATCGGCGAGATCTTAGCAAAAAATCTTATTTGTGCCTTTGTTTGAGGTGGTTAGGAAACTGGGTTCAAGGAAGCATAGCGATTTGGCCATATTTGTTAGTGGATCATTGCATGTGCTCTTTTTTTCAATATGTGGAATGCTTCTTTATTGATTTTGACGCAACACAGCAAGTGACGTACACAAAAATTGGAACAAACATGCACCGCGTGTTATACGCAGTAACGTTACTCGTATAACAGAATTAATATCTAACTTTACTCGTATAACAGGCTTGATGTGACCACAATGTTCAACACAGTTGGATATTTTCTTCTCAGTGGGATGAACAGTACACACCTTTAAGTAACTTATGTATTCAGGCGGAAGATGAAAATGAAGAGCTACAAAAGGCATTACGATCTTTTGAAGACGAGTTCGGCGGTCTCGGCGGAAGCTTGGATCGCGGGCCAAAGGCGTTTATACGTTCCGAAGTTGTGAATGCGAATAAAACAGGTATGTACCTAAGTTCCTATTCATAGCAGTTTTTTCTATAATTATCCTTTATGCCCTTGCTTAGTATGTAAAAGCATTATGTTGGATGAATTCTATATTTAGTGAGCGCTGGAAAACCACAGCTTTATAAACCCGAACCTATGGTTACCATTCAACGTACCCTTCCAATGAGTGGGAGCTCCTTTGAGGAGTCCAAGAGGCTTGCTGCTGAGAAAGTACGTAATTTATCTTCCATCTTTTTATCCTTTCCATGCAATTCCATATTTGAAATTGATGATCTCATTGCAGGCACGTCGAATGCTGGAAGAAGCTCACAAAGGCAAGGGGCCTCCACCGCAGGTCATACCTTCAAGTGCTACTCGTCCAGTTACGAGACCTCCCAGACCTGGTGCTGGTCGATCTGTGCAAAAAAGCAAAACCAGTAACTTGGAGGCGTTCAAAGAAGAGCTGAAGAAGTATGAGCCGCCAAGTTTTTTGTTCTCTTATTTCTGATACGCCGATTCCGTTCAGAGTGCAACAAGAACGAGACCAACGCAAAGGTCTTAGAGATCATCTTCGAGCTGAGTTGGGTGTTGATGCGGAAGCTCTTGATAAGTAAGTTTTTTTATGATTATTAGAAGTAGTGAAGAAGTGTTATATTCCAGGATAGCACCTGCATTAGATAAGCCATATATGGGAAGCGGAGAATACGATGATGATCCGTACACTACAAATTTGTACATTAGCAACCTACCACTAGATGTAAGTTTAAGATACTTTTTGTTTACCAATAGGTTTGAAAGATATCCTGTTCTCCTTAATCATGATAACGTAGCCACATGTTGCAATCTTTTGGTCCAGCGCTTAGTCATTCTTTGATGTAGGGACTTTTTTTCAATGTTTTTTTTTACTTGCAATGTTTTAATCGCTTTTTGGAGTCACAAAACTTCAGTAGCTTTTAACTCCTTTTCTTCGTACTGGGTGTCCTGCAGTACTAATCTCGTAATTACAGATGACTATGGAAGATTTATTTGATTCTTTTGGATCTTTCGGACCGCTAGCTTCGGCAAAGATCCTTTTCCCGCGCACAGAAGAGGAGAAAAGACGGGAGCATCTGTGCGGTTTCTGCGCTTTTATGTAAGCTGCTCCCTTTCTGATTTCGCTGTCCTCTTAAACACATTTGATTTACACTTTCGCAAGCTAGCAATCCCTTTTTTAGGTCGAGAGAAGATGTTGATCGAGCCCTAGCTCAAATGATGGGGTTTTTCATCCGTGGTGAACCTATTAGAATGTCATTTGCCAAACCCATAGTCATTCCGGCTCAGGTTGGTTTGAATAAGACAGACCAAGAATTTAAAGTGGGTAGAATAGTCGTATAAAATAGTGGTTTTCTCTCCTCATTCGTATTTTGTAGCCTTTTTACGTTCCTCCACCTTTGTTGGATTTGAGCGCACCCGATCCGATCACTGAGCTACCATTCAATGCCAAGCCTCTATATGCAGACGTGGGTAAATGAGTACGTAATAAATAGGAAGTAATAAAAATCTCTTTAGTTGATGGCCTATAAAGAGAAATTTGGTGATCTACCACACTATGGGACACCGATAAATTTCGAAGGGGAGCAGAAGGAGCTCTACGACAAGGTAATTCTATGAAACGAGCAATGTCTCTTTTGCGCGCTCTATGCCCAGTATCAATCTGCATCAATGCGCTACTCTTTGTACATTGATAAATTCATTATCGAGGCGTTTCATAACGAAATTTGAATTTAATCTGCTACAGATGATCAAGAACGCGACAGTTCGTGTAGTGATTCCGTCAGACAGGTAAGCGCCATCTCATCCGTCCGACTATGGTAGGCGAGCAGCGACGGCTGTCATTTTGGCTCCTCATTCGATGAGCAAACGAACTCAGATGCACTTAATATTGTTTTCGAAGAGAAGTGGTCTAAGTTGAAATTTTTATGAACAGGCTAAGTCTAGAGTTTATCTATGTATCTAAATTTCAGCCATTTTGCGGTAACATGCAGACCAGCTCGTGAACTCCTGCACACATAATGTTGCTATATCAGCAGATCTTTTTAAAAAGCAAAGATTGCTGTTTTTGCGTTGTCGTGTAGGCATAACTGGCTTTGGCTATATTTGAATTTCGGCCACAATATCTCGCTAGCTATTCGATGCTACAATTCTATTCTTTTCATTTAGAGACAATCAATACTTTTTTGTTGAATATTTTCGAGTTTACCTTGGTATGAAACACCAAGCAGAACCTATGAGTTGCTGAAGAACAATCTTTCTTACTGATTTTTGGCTTTTTTGTTCTCAATCGAACTTTTGAGCAAAATTGGTACAAAACAGCTTGTTCGCAGTGTGAGACTTTCGCACTAAAACTATACACACTTCGTAGAACCTCTTTTTCTCACTTATATATTCGATGTTTTTACATATATCCATTTTCGATGACTTTTTGTTCGTCAGTTGTGCCTCAGTGATAAGTCAGATTAGCGAATTCTAGCATCAATTCATGCCCGCTCTTCATAAAATTGTCTTACGATCCTTTAGCCATCTCCTCCTCGTCATTCAACATGTCGTGGAATTTACCATACGCGAGGGTCCCCTCTTCGAAGCAATGTTGATGACTCGCGAGAGGACCAATCCTCTGTTTCGGTAAGATAATCATCTTAGAATTCTATACGAGCAGACAGAATCTGCATGAATTTTTGACTTTTTAAATGTTTTATGCTTTGCATGAACTGGAAAATGTCAAAATAATTTAAAAAAATAGCACTTTGTCTGAGAGTTGAAAAGTCATCCTTTGTCGTAAAGGTTTGACGATGAAGTGAACTGATTTTCAAATTCACAGAATGTGAAAAAAGTTATCTATATCTGTCAAGTTTTCAGTATGTCGCATTCGCAAGCAATCAGTTTTTCCGTTCAGGTTCCTTTTCGAGCTTAATCATCCCACCCATGTCTACTATCGGTGGAGGCTATTTTCAATCTCGCAAGGGGACACCTTCCTGGAATGGCGACGTGAAAAGTTCAAGTCTGTTTTAGTTCATGTAATTCAAACACGCACTATTCTGTTTATTGACATTATCCCAGAATGTTTGATGGTGGATCGTGGTGGCAGCCACCCATTCCGCAAGTGGAGCTCTTCAGTTGCATGCCTCGTTCACTGCACAGTTTCGCTTGTACTCTTACCGAGCCTAGCCGGTGGCTTCCTAAGCTAGATCAATCCGGGCAGGTAACTGAAGCCTAGTCTAACGAATTCATTAAATTAGTTCATTTTGAGTCTAGTCATAATTTTACTTGCAGCGGACAACTCGTACGCATGATAATAGAGCGAGACAGGACAGGTCGAGAAGTCCCAAGGGAGACATCAAAAAATCAAAAGCACGGCTACGAAAAAGTCAGCGAAAGAAGCTGGAGCAAATTCTCAGAGAGCTCACACCAGAGAGCGATAGCGTAAGTGTTGAATTTGATAAATGTTTTGTGTCTGATTGTGTGAGTTTTAGATTGGATATGCTATGGTTTGGTGTGCGGATCACGCAACTTGCGCTAGAGAAATTTGTGAATGTATATATGAATCGCTCACAATAGACGAAACTCCTTTGCATAAGAAGATCGCAAGGTAAGTCAGTTTAGCCAGCACATATATGAAAATATATTATTGTAATCTCAGATTGTATTTGATATGCGATCTTCTCGCTAATGCTGCATCTCGAGGAGTCAGGGATGTGTTTTATTTTAGACAGTATTTCGGTGATCTCTTGACAAAGGTAGGTCTTTTTGACAAGGTTTCTTTTTCGTAAAATCTAGATATTTTCTTAAGATTTTCTCTGCACTGGGTCGTACTCTTAGAAACATCAGTGCGAGGCTGAAGGCTGAGCAATTCAAACAGCGTGTTATGTTGTGTTTTCGGTAAGAACTAGATAGTGTTGACGTTCTTTTATTCATTTTATATACCTGAGTCGCTTTCAGGGCTTGGGAGGAATCGGTATTGTACCCTACGGATGTGCTCGTTAATAGTCAAAACATATTCCTTGGTTTGACGGTGAGTTATCTGAGTCTAATACGTGTTTCGTCGGTTTCGATAGGTTGCCTTTCAGGAGAGCAAAACATCAGATGAATCAGATGAAGATTTGGATGGTGCGCCATGCGACATCGATGGCGTTCCTATAGATGATGACCGAAATGTAACAAAATTCCCATCAGTTTTTTTAACCAGACACTGCTTTGAGCGAAACACAGTGTTGTAGCCTATTTTTGCTTGCAGCCAATCGAAAGAGATTCTTTTACAGATGCCCATTTTTGACGACAGCGATGATCATCGTGCCGGTACATCTTCAGAGCAAACCAGAAAACCTACGGGAATGTTCAAATCTGGAAACTGGAGCACGGTATGTTTTATCTATTCTTTCGAAGAACTGGCTCGAAACAAACCCTTTTCAGATTGGCACTGTTGAGCCAGTAAAAAGTAAATGGGAGGAAGATGATGCAGAAACGTCTTCGAAAGAGCAAAACTCCAGTCCTCAACGAGAAGAAAGGGATACAAACGCAATTAGTACTCGCACAAAAGAGAGCGACGACAGCGATACTGACGGAGAGATTGAGGAAAAGGAGTTGGTTACTTTGAAAATTCTAAACTTCCAAATCAGATCAATATCCCTACTTTTTTAGGGATATACTTGCCAGTGCTGCTATGGAGGAGGAGCGACGAAAACTGATGCGAGAAGTAGAGGTAAATAAACATTTTCTTTGTCATGGTTTCGATTTTCTTATTCTCATTCTTCATCGGCTCGCTGGTTCAGGTGAAAATAATGGCTTTGCAAGACGAACTCGAGAGCAAGAAAGATCCCGATATTGCTTCGAAGGTGCGTTGCTATCCGAAAATAAAATATATTCTGATCAATTTTTGTTTTGAGGTCAAAGCTCTGCGGGAAAAGGAAATGGCCGAAGTGGAGAGTAATCTTGCTGCGTTGGTCAAAAAGCGGATGAAGAAAGAAAAGAAAAAGGGGAAGAGAGATACCAGGAAAGACACGAAGGATGATTACTCCAAATCTAATCGCGATTCGGAACGTTCGGATCGAAGGAGGGACACTCGTGATACGGACTCACGTAAAAGAGATCGAAGCCGTGAAAGAGACCGAAGTCGCGAGCGGGATCGTAGCCGTGAACGAGATCGCAGCCGTGAGAGGGATCGCAGCCGTGAGCGCGATCGGAGTCGTGAAAGGGACCGTGATCGTGACAGGGATCGAGACAGGGACCGCGATAGACGTCGTAGTAGAAGTAGAGATAGGAAACGTGACTCTAGTCGGTAAGCTGTCATCATATAATTTGAGTCATCTTATCAGTTATTTTTCGAAAAAGAAAGTTCATAGTCATTGTTTATAAGCAGCTCTTTCGAGGCTCACCTCACCATAAATGGCGGTGTGCAGACTTGTATAAACGCTGCTTTTCATATTCTCATGTAAATTTCATTTGCAGGGATCGCTCAAGACGTGATCGACGCTAGAATCCTTACAGCGAGCTCATGGTATAATCGTGTCAAGTGTATGGATGTCAAGCGAAAAAGAATGGCTTGCAACTCTAAGTGATTGTGGATTACGTTCTATGTCATGGTGATCAAACCAAGGTCACTGAAATGAAGCGGTCCGCGTTATCGTATAAGTTTTTTTTGCAGGTTCTGTGTTTATTGTTATGATTGATTTGGTCCTTGTAATGTGAATTTGTTGTTTTGTCGTTGTTATTATATGTATTCAAGTCAGTGAGAATGAATATATCTATTTTTTTCGAGGAGCACTTACGACGCCAGTTTGAATCAGGTTGGCATATAAGTTTTGCAACTTCTTTCAAAATTGCGACTTCTCCCAAAAGCCTCTCTCTCTTTCTCTCTCTTTGCGTGTATGTTGTATCCTCAATTTTGGGCATTATATAAGTTGTAATGTAAGATACAGGACTGCACAAACCGCTAGTTTTTTGATAACATCAAAATTCTAAGCTTCTTCAAAAGAGGTCAAATTTGAGGCTTAGAATTTCTTTACAAAAACAAAGCCGTGCACCACCTGAATGAACGCATTAACGGAGTTGTAGGCAGCATGTTGGCGGAGATTAATCATCGGCTCATTGTAAAAATAGAATTTGGAGACAAATTAGATCTTTGTGAAAGACCTAGTTTGGGGAAGGAAGCATCGTTATTGCAATCCCAAAAACTGCGTCTGCCTCTGCAGTATCTGATTTTCGCCCCATGAGTCAGATGGTCACTCGAATCGTTATGGAGAGAATCATCAGATGAAGTTGTTTCGTTGACTGAGAAATTTTCATGTAGTTTTTCCTTACAATTAGCTTCATGGTATCTACATGGAGGGTCATTACTGAGCTTGTTACAACGTTTTTGATTGGAGAAAAGCCCTTAATGTTGAGTTATTTGTAGATGTTGTATATGTGAATCTATCAAAAGCCTTTGATAAGACCCCCAGCATGCACTAATGTGTTGGCTAAGGAATAAGTTCGAATTGACATGCAACGAAATCCCATTACAATTCCAGTAGAGTTATTTGGCTGAGATTTTTTGCGCGAGGACATAGTTCTAAGCTTCTGTTCTTGAATATCAAGTAGTCAAAATTTTTTGTTAAAAAAGTGACAGTTATGCCCTTATATGGTCAGGCTTCCAGAAAATCGTTTCTTTCTAAAGGCTACTGCATGACGAAGACGCAGAAGCAGTATTAGTTGGGTGGGCTCGACGCGGCGCGCGCGTATCCTCACCGTTTTAAATTCCGCGCCTTGTGTGCTCTGCGGCTAAAGCCGCGTTCGCACCCAAAGATATTGCACCTTCGTCATGCAGCAGCGGATAAGTCTCTATATTTTTATATACAGGGTTGGAGGAAAATCTTTGAACAATTTTTGATGTCATGCATGTTCGGATTTTCACACATGTTCTTGTGTGCTAATTATATGTAATTGCTTCTTATATTCTCAAGTACAAGAATTCCATAAACTGGACTATTAGCTTTATTCCTATCGAAGATATACCTTCTGGAACGAAGCGAGCGTTGGCGGCGAAGATGCACGAGGAGAAGATGGCTGACCAGCAAATTGCGCGGGTTCCCCAAATTTCACAGATCTTTAACATCTTGCGTCACTTTGAGGACATGAGCAGCACCCAGGACTGTTGTAGGAGTGGTAAATTGGCCGCTGCGGACAATCACAAAAATCTCAAGATCGTTCGCCAGCGCCTCCGTCGCAATCCTTGGCGAAACTTGATTGAGCTTCAGAGCTCTCCATCTCTGGCAGGACAGTCTCCGACATCGTAGAACCTGACCTTGAAATGAAGCTATTCAGGATGCCAAAAATTCGTGCTTTTGGGGTAGACACGAAGCTGAATTTACTGCGCAGATGCCATCGACTACTTGACCGTCTCTCCAAGGCACATCACCAACGATACCCTTTCGTGAGGTCAAAATTCTCACCATGGAGCAAGTTTTTGATCACCAAAAAACAGAATCATCACCTAATCGTCACAAGGAGCCAATAGCAGGAGTTGACCCGCAGAAGTGAAGCTTCGTCTGGCTTCTGTGATGGTTTGCGCGACGATCGCCTCCGACACGAAAATACCGCTGATTTTTGTCAGGCATTAAGGTGGATACTGTTACGCATGTGATAGCATCCGGAAGGGAATTGGCTCGGACCAATACCCATTTTGCCGAGAGCGATTGGTGTTCGTAGCATGACAGCGCATCTGCGCACAAAGCAAATGTTGTTCAAGCATGGCACCAAAAGTTAAGGACTTCATTACTCCTGCGGAATGGTCTGCGTATTGCCCGGATCTGAATACCCTCGATCACAGCGTGTGGTCAGTTCTTGAGGCCAAAGCCTGCGTCCACCCAAGCAAGACTGTGGAGTCTCTGCGACGCGCTCTTTGGAATATGTGGGAGGAAGTTGACGTGGAGCATCTTGTGCCACCAGGAAAAGCGTTCCCAAGCGTTTCCGAGCTTGCGTTGGCGTCAAAGGAGGCATCTTCGAATTGTAAAGTCAATTTTATGTAGCAGACAGTTGATTAAATACTATTTATTGATTTCATGTAAACATCCAGCTCAGCTGTATCATTACGATAAAAGAATACCGTGTTCAAGGACATCCTTCCAACTTTGTATCTATACTTTATTATATTGTCTATATTTTACTTCCTAAGTTTCGTTTTCGGCGTGAGTGCCCATATGACTTGTGTGGATGCCAGCTGTGCATTCTACACCCGACTTCAGCTCACTTTTCGGAGCATGATTATTCGGAAATTCGAATTTGGCCCTCAAATAGAGTTGGCCATCAATTCTTGTTAATTGTTAATTTGCTTCTTCCAATGGTACCATACATTCTTACATAAATCAATATGTAATTTTCTACAAAACATTCTCAGACAATCGCCGGGGGCAGGCGGGCACCGGAAAAATTTATTGCTGATTTCTCGCACCCCGCTCGCGGATTTTTTGGAAAGCAATCAGGACTTTTCGGAAGACCGCTTGCTGAGTTCTCGATTCCTCAGAGATTCAGCAATATATCTGCAAAAGATAAGAGCAAAAAAAATTCAACAGGCGGTCTCTCAAAAAACCGCTGACTCAGCAAGCGGTCTCCCGAAAAGTCGTGATTGCTTTCCAAAGAGTCCGCGAGCGGGGTGCGAGAAATCAGCAATCTATTTTTCCGGTGCCCGCCTGCCCCCGGCGATTGTCTGAGTTAAAAACGGCCAAATTTATTCTTTAGCCCACCTAATCTTATCCGAATCACAAAACTATGGATTAGATGGAAGTTTACTGCAATGATTCCCCATTTTGAAAACAAAATTATCACATTTAAGGTTGGACAGTCTTTCTCCAAGAATCAATGTACCACTAGGGCATCCCAGGGTGGGCTGCTTTCGCCTCTTTTTTTTAATCTTCCCGATGGAGTCACATTCAATTTTTGATTTGGGTGGAGTGAGCATGGGATTTATGCTTATGACATTGAGCTGTATGTTTGTGAGAAGAGGATCATCATGAGATGCATGCTGCATTTCAATCATCCATTGAAAAAGTGGGCTGGTGGGCAACGTAATGGGTTTTCTTTGATCCCATCAAGTGCCCCTTTTTGCATTGTGAGAATACGATCTTTCGATTATGAAGTGAATGATTCTGTTCCAACAGTGTGTTCATCGGCTAAGGATCTAGGTATTTTGATTGATTCTCAACTAAAACTCACTGAACACGTCATGCTGTGCAAAAAGCGTACTCGTCGCTGTTTTTTTTTCAAAACATTCACTCATGTAATGAATACACTCTTATCGGACTGCATAAAGCGTGTGCTCCCTCACGTGAAGCATTGCTCCTAAATACAGAGTCGCTCATGCAGAAAGAAAACTTGAAAACTTGGAAAAGTTCAGCAAGAGTTTACAAAAATGGTCCTCTTTCGCAAACTGCAAAGTATATCCAGGGAATACATTCCATCTTATATTGAACGCCCTGAAATGATGGGATTGAAATCGCTTATAAATAAGAGAATTAATAGCTGACTCTATTTTTTTGTTCTTGTATACTGCGAAAAGAGGTTGATAGAGCATTGAAGGCTTAGCGGATTCAAAATAACATTATCTAGGTTACGAAAGAGCTCCTATTCCGGTCTTTTCAACTCAACTTGTTGTACCGCTGTGCACGCTGGCTCCGTCGACTGCCTTCTAAACTACTGACTTTCAAAAATATTTGAGCTTTCAGAAGAGTCTGCTAAAGATTGGTGTTGCTAGCGTTTTGCATTGTGGGCCGTATCTCTGTTGATAGTTTTTGTATTCGTTTAAGTTTGATTTCGGGTTTCGCTCGATAAGAGCAGCTTATCAGTAGGGTTTTGCAAGTTTTTACTCTTGAATACTTCTTTTTTTCCATTATTTTTCCTTTCTTAGACCTCTTCTCTCGCATGTGTTTGCCCTTTTTCGGGTTCTCTTGCTCGCTTTGGAACGGTTATTTTTGGCCTGGTTAATTATGTCAATCTAATACTACGTTAGCTGCTGGTCGTGCAATCAGTAGTATTCGCTTCCCAGTCGTTTCGTGCTCCTTCGTGCCAGCCATGTGCTTTTTTAACTCGTGATCAGCGCATGTGTCCAACAAATTCCACTTTTTCCTCTGCTTTGCTAGATTTGTTCCTCTCCTCTACTGACTTGAACTGAAACATGTAGTTTCGAGCCCAGCCTAGCTGCCAATTTATGACTAGTTCATAGAGCTTGCTAACTCTGACTACTCCTGCTCAATATGCAGACTTCTGATTATCCTCGGAACTCAGGACTTTCTTCAGCAAAACGTGTCAAGCGGGGCTTGGTAGTATACTCTCCAACCAAACTTCGGTTTACTCTTATGAATAACATAAAGGTCATTCCTTCCTGGCAAACGAGGAGGCATGAGTACTTCTCCATATAGTCTGTGGAAGCACAAGATTATGTGCAACCCTGAACATGTTGAGTTACCCTGCAACCCTGACACATGCAACCTTGACAGCTTACGACTATTACTACACTATTTCTTCCTCTATAAGTCGTCTAGGCTGGACTTGGGATAACGTGGTGATTTTTACTGTTGTGTTTCATGTATGACTAACACTTGGTTGTCTTTTTCAAGCGCCTCGGACGTATGGAGGAAATGAAATGAAAATGAAAATGAAAATGAAGATTTGACGCCCTCGAAAGTCGAGTTGAATGCATCAGTTTCATAGGGGCTTCCATCAGTAACTAAGCAGCGTATCTTCAAAAATTGCGGAGAAATAGTGGAACTCGACA